CAGCCTACTGGATATTTCTGATAAGGCCATCATTTCAGAACCAATTAACACTTGGAATAACTTCCTATCACAGGGTTCTAGGCAGCATTTTATATTTCATTGAGATAAGCAGAGGAGTACAACATGTGACTTTGCAATTGCTGTAGGTAGGTATGTGTAATGTAAATTAACAATTGGTTCTGTTAAACTTTTATTTCTCTGGACAAAAGTATCATATACAAAAAAGCACATTTACTTAAACTCTACTTTCAGCTGCCCTTATTTATGATCCTGCAAATGTTCCCTATATAAGCAATCTTACCTATAGGTGAGTGTTCTTGGAGCAGTCTGTGTTATCAAAGGAAGCTGTGGCCTGGAGGTTCTTACTTTTTATCTCTCCAAATGCCTAAATCAGTTGTTCCAAATTGCCGATTTACTTAAAGGATGAGTCCTGGGCTATGTGTCCTGCTCTCATTTGACTAGAGAGAGGCTGTTTGGATGACCTTAATTTTCTGAGGGTCCATTGTGGGTTATGTTCCTGATTTTCAAAGCTGGAGAAACAGTTATTGAACTGAGGCAACAGAGAGTTTTTGTAGCCTGTGAGTGACTAATTTAGCAACTAAGGGAAAATAAAAGAATAAAAAAATGTGGTGCTGTTCTATAAATGGAATTCTTACATACATTTAAAAATAGAGCTTCTTTGGGTTGCTTTTGAGGAAGTAGCATAATTGCAGAATAGTGTGCCTCTCCTACTTGGTTAAGTTGCTGACGTATTCATGTAGTATCAGAAAGAAGTTGTATAGCTGTTCAGGAAAAAGGTCCTGCCATGATTAAGACAATATGCAGTGCTTTAAAACCATATGAACCCGAGAGGAATTGCTGCTGGTTGGCTTGTACCTGCCACTTCTACTTGCTTGACGCATTGAGTAAATATATGTTGAAATTGGGCTAGCTAGTTCAATTTGAGGTTATCCACAGTAAAACCTAGGAACTGATTACGTTCTCTGAAGTGAAAATGTTAGGATGTATGTTGGGGTAGAAACAATGTACTTATTTCCTTAGGATCCTGACTCTGTGCGATCCTGATTGTATTTTTGTGATAACAGGGGCATGGTCTGAGATATTAAGAAGACAGATCTCCAAGTTGTGGACCTAAGACTTTCTGTGATTAAGAAATAATCCATTCTGGAGTAATTTTTTGACTTTGCATGCTCTCACTCAATCCAAGACTCATTATGTGAACAGCCCTCTCTCATGCAAGGAAGCTTTTGGGACACATGTCTGATAACTACTTAGTATGTGGCTTAACTACTTGATTTGTGGAAGGAAACCTCTATTTTTGAGCCTGTGCTCATGTAGTAAAATGGATATGTGGGCATTCTTTACACATGATGGTGTTTATTTGTACAATATTTGTGTACTCCTTTTCTGCTGTAATATTTCTCAAAGCAGTTCCCAATAATAGAACTGGATTTATAGACAGGTCATACTGCCTTGCCAATTCTGAATTGCAGGTGCTGTCAATGGGATCATGTGATTCCTTGTTCTGCCCCTCTCAAAGGTGGTGGTGACCAAGAGAGGTCCTAGTAGCAGATGTTTTTCAGAGTCCTAGACTGATACCTTTTGAGAGAGGAGACCACACACATGTGCATGCCTTGTAGTGTTCACCTCACCGTTCATTGTATTTTGTGGAGTATCTAGAATTCTGAAGTTGTGTGGCAGACCCTTTTTTTTAAAAAAGTATTTTTATTAAAGATTTCTTGGTTTACAAAAGTATGTGCAATGTCTCTTTTTTCAAGTTACATTTTCTTGATCAGTTTCATTTGTTGAGACATTAGTGTTACATTAGGAAGAAAAGGGGGAAAGAGGTGGAGGGGGAATGGTGAGTGGGGGTGGGGTCGGGTGGCAATGTTTCTATTTTACTTAATGTGCGTGTGTGTGGGGGGTTTGTGTCAGCGTCACTTGTGCAGGTTCTCTTTGCTATTTGCTTGTGTTCCTTTAGTGGTGAGAGAGGTTGGGGTTGGCCTAGAGTGTGATTGTTTGTGATTGGCTGTGGTGAACTTTGTTTTCATGTGTGAGTGGGGTAGGTGGATGTTTTGGATCAGGTTAGCCAAATTGATTCATATGCTGTTGGTGGATTCTTGTCGTTGTCTTGTTGGGCTGTGTATGTGATAAAGGGGAGCCATGAAGGCGTCATCTTCTATTTGTCCCCATATCAGTTTCAGTTTATTGGTTAATTTTTCTAGTAAGGCTGTTTCCCATGCTATTTGGTACCATTGGTCCATGCTTACTCCTGACAGGACTCTCCAGTGTCTGGTTATGATGTTTCAGGCTGCTGAGAGTAGGTGGGTTATGAGTTCTTTGTGATTTGTTGGGCATTATTGTCTTGGAAGAGGCAGACCCTCTCTTCATACCCTGCTTGAAACTTAACTTCAATTCTGGGCGACAATACAGGATTTATTCAAGTTTCTGAGCCCTGTTGGCTGGCTGACTGTTTTTATTTAAAAAATTGTTTGTATTATTTGGAAGAAGTTGCTAATGAAAGAATTCTGTGTTTGCAAAAAGACTGGCATGTAGCTCAGTATAATGTGTGGCATAGTGCGTCCTAGCAGCTGTTGCACCATAAACTTAAATATGCTTACCCATTGAAGGCCCAGGGGTATTCTGTATGCTTTTATCGGCATAGAGTTGATACCTTTAGGGATCATGCTAAAATAAAATTATTTATTGTCAACAGTGAATGTTTAATAATGTAATTTCTGGTACAGACCCAAACATTCAAGAAGAAATCTGCTGCCTTGTTCTCAGCAGATTTCTCCAGCTGCAGCTGAAGTACCATTGGTTCTGACAGTAATCTTTTAGTGCTAGTAATCACACACTCCACGCTAACAGTTTTTATAGTAATAGCCAATGCTTGAGAATCCAAAAGTAATAATTCAACTGAAATAGTGTGAAATGAATTAGATGCTTTCAATTCTTTCATGTGTATAATTTCAGGCATTCATTCAGCAGTGAAGGAATGTCTGCTTAAGGGGTTTGAGGGTTTCTGTTTGTGTGTTTCTTTGTTTTGTAACTGACCCAGTATTTTCTTAGGAGAGTTCAAGTACATTTACCTATACAAGCACATGTGTATGCACGTGCTCGCATAAGAATTGGATAGGACTGTATCTAAAAATACTGTCATCTTATTTAATATTTAACCAGTTTTCTAAACATGCAGGCAGCCCTTTTCCCAATAGGATAGAAAATGAAACTGAACTGATTGTGGTGGCTACATTTTTAGTGTTTTCTTCTGTAATCCAAGTTTTAAAGAAAAGGCTTTGGTTACATTTATCTCAGTGCCTTAGATAAATCAGCAGCTTCTATAGTTAAGTTTTTTATGGTAAGTTGTTTTGGAAGTTGAATGGAATCCATTTCGGAAGTCTGTTCGACTTCCAAAACGTTCGGAAACTGAAACGTGGCTTCTGATTAGCCGCAGGAAGCTCCTGCAGCCAATCGGAGGTTGCGGAAGCCCTGTTGGACATTTGAGTTCCAAAGAACGTTTGCAAACCGGAACACTCACTTCTGGGTTTGCAGCGTTTGGGAGGCAAAACATGCAAGTACCAAGGCATTTGGGATCCAAGTTACGACTGTATAGCTGGGAAGGTGGCATACATAAAATGTGCTGTGCATCAGGGGAATAACAGAGTTCTGACAAGGGTGTTCAGACTTAAGGATTTGCTTCCCCACACAGTCATTTAGCAGGGGCAAAACTAAACTTTATTTCACCTGGGTCAAAGACCCAGTTTGGCACCCCATGCACATTTGCGTGTGTACACACACAGGTTGGGAGCCTCGATGGTGCTTCTCTGGAGGCTTCAGCTGGGGCAAAGAACCTGGCTAGACCCCCCTCCCCCGGTAGCTACGGCTCTGTCTTAAATTGGGTCCAATTAGTACACTTTCTTGTTCTCCATCAACTCCCATTTTCTCCTTGCGGCCTCTTATTTTGAGTTATAGCAGATCCATCCAATACCAGTGTGGTGTGTTCAGGTCCAGTGCCATTGTGATAACAGCAAGAGGAGTGTTAAAATTTCTATAGAAACACCAAAGTTCAAAAAGCTTGTGTTCTGCTTCCCCCGCCCCCTCTACTCACACACATTCATCTTTGGATTCAAGCCATAGTGAGTTCAGGCTGCAGGAGAGGGGCTTTTTGCTGGTGGCACCCAGGCTTTGGAACACCCTCCTGAAGTAAGTAAGACTGGTGCTAACACAATCCTCATCCCAGGGAGACTCCTGAATCCCTGCGTTCAGGCTGTTTTGAACAACTGAGGGGGAACAAGATGAACCTTAATCCGGATAAGACAGAGGTCCTGTGGAAGGAAAAACATACACTTTTGTATGGAGGTTTGTAACTGATTCTAGAAGGGGTTGCATTTCATCGGAATGATCAAGTTCACATTATGTGAATACTGCTAGAATCCATGCTAAATGGGGATGATGAGGTGGCAGCCGTGGCCAGTGGTGCTTTTTCCAGTTTTGGCTGGTTTGTTAGCTGAAACTCTACCTGGAGAGAATGAATGTTGTCTCAGTTATCTATGCACAAGTGAGTATCTAGGCTGCACAACTGCAATGTACATGAGGCGGCTTTTAAAAGTGGTTAAGAACTTTCATCTGGAACAAATAAAAGTTGGTTGGGGCTGGGTGGCTAAAGTGCTTTGCACCTACATTATACCAGCTGCACTGTCCCAATGTGTTTCTGAACCCAAATTAAAGTGCTGGTGATAATCTTAAAAGCCCTAATCATTTTGGGACTGGGTTACCTACAGCAGTATTCCCCAACCTTGGGCCTCCAGCTGTTTTTGGACTACAACTCCCATCATCCCTCGCTAGCAAGACCAGTGGTCAAGGATGATGGGAATTGTAGTCCAAAAACAGCTGGAGGCCCAAGGTTGGGGAACACTGACCTACAGGACTGTGCATGGAATGGAACCTCTGAATCTACCTTGCGGGCTCTGCTCAGGCCAGTTTCTTTCTTTTTACAGATACCTGAAGGAATTCCGCACAGAGCAGTGCCCACTCTTTGTGCAGCACAAGTGTACTCAGCATAGGCCCTATACATGCTTCCACTGGCACTTTGTCAACCAGCGTCGCCGCCGGTCTATCCGCCGTCGGGATGGCACCTTTAACTACAGCCCTGACATTTACTGCACCAAATACGATGAGACCACAGGGATCTGTCCAGAAGGAGATGAGTAAGTTACTCAAGGCTGCATCTAACTTGACCAGATGGAGGTTCCAGCCTGCACTTACAGAGAGGAGAGAATTCAACAAACCAGCTTTTTAAAAATCATGCAGAAGAACCCATGAAGAAATGTGGAAACGCTGCAGTAGAAACTTGAACAAAAAATTAATTACGATTGCACCACACCTATATATCCCCCCCCCAAAATGAAGGCTGTAATTCAAAGGTTTTTTTGCTCTGGAATAATCCTAGAGAAATTAGTGAGGTTTATTTTAAAATTAATGGCCTGAGGATCGTTTCCTCATTTTATATCCTTATTTTACAAAGGATACAAATGGGGAAAAAGTGCTGGATTTGACAACCGTGAGGACTAAAAAAATTTTTTTTGTTGGGCAGCATGTTTCCGCCTTTGAGTTTCTACGAGCTCTCTTTTCCCCCACTCCCCTGTAGGTGTCCATTCCTGCATAGAACTACTGGTGACACAGAACGTAGATATCACCTGCGCTACTACAAAACTGGAATCTGCATCCATGAGACTGACTCGAAAGGAAACTGCACCAAGAACGGTCTCCACTGTGCTTTTGCTCATGGGCCCCATGACCTCCGCTCTCCAGTTTATGATATCAGGTTAGTAGAGGATGAAGTTCCTTGTCTGCAGAAGTATACTTGCTAAGCCAAAATGGAACAGATCAGAGTACAAAATGCTGCTGAATGTGTAGTGTTTAGCATCAGAAGTATGATGGTGTTCTGTTTTCTCTCTTCCTCCACCCCTGCCCCCCAACCCCGCACAAAAGAATATGTTATATACAGTCCTTTAAGGCCGTTTCCTGTGACTTTTTATGCATCACAAGGTGACTTGGGCAAGTATCTGGGTGCCAGGAGCCCCATTATTATGAATGGGTTTAATATAAGCCAGACTATTGCTAAGCCTCAACCATTGCCCTCACTAGACATAAGATAGTAAGGTGGCTAGGAAGAGGTTAAATCTGCCCCCCCTCCAACTATACCCCCCCGAGCATATCTCCACCACCAGATGACTGTCAAAAATCACCTATCAGTTTAAAGAAAGGGATGGCATGACTTTAATTTCTTAGAACAAGATTTGTATAGAAACAAGCAGCCTGAGTGTTTGTAAGATTGGGTGAAACTGGACATTGGCAGCAAACATTGGTCTAGGAATTCTGGTTACCCCCATATATCTGTGAAGCAGAGGGAGAGGACATGATTCGCAGGGAAGATGCTATGGTATGGGAATATGCTCTGAGAAAAAACCCTTTTTTTCTGTCCACATTTCCCCATAGTCTACAACCACTTTATCTGTTTTGTCCCACAATGCAGCAGATGCATATCTGAGTCCCATGACTAGAGAGGGAGTACCAGTGGGAAAGTGGCAGCAGGGGAAGGATTAATTACCCTTCCCCTGCCTGCTGCTTCTTCCCTGCAGATCACACCCTCCCCCAGCTGATGTATAGTTGTGTGTTACTGACTGGGGTTCCCAGCCCTGAGTCTGCAACCAAGTGTCTCTTTCAGCCCTTAGAGGTAAATATCATTTCATTAAGTATATGGGAGAGCATGTTTAAAGAGATGTTAACATTAGACCTAAGGTATTCTTTCCAATAGTTCTGTAAGATGAAAATACTTAAGTTTAGGAAATAGACATTGTATTTGTTCTATTTATGTTATGGCTATCAAAAGGGAATATGTGAAGCATGCTAGGAGTTTACTTGGGTTTGTTTTGGGAGGTGGGGAGGATTAATTATGCTGTATTAATTTGCTGGAGGCACACCAGTTGAGATTCAACCAGGATCTTATTTTACCTTCTTCATGAAGCACCATGCCCCTGCGTGCAAATAAATGTGTGTGTTGTATAGGGGATTAATAGAACAACAGTGGAAAATGGGGTGCAATATGTCTTGTAGGAGTTTTCTCCAAAATAGCAGGAGGACAGAGTGCTCATACAAATCCTGAATCTCTAAAAGTGGGCTTAGCAAAAAAAGAAAGAAAGAATAAATGTATGGGAATTCCTGCATTGTGGCAACTCCTATCTGGTAGACACACATCTCTTTCTCTGAATCTTCTCTGCCTGCCTATTGTTCATTTAACTCTGTTCCCTAAGGGAGCTTCAGGCCATGGAAGCTTTGCAGAATGGTCAGACTACATCAGAGGGTGGCATAGAGGGTCAGTCTGCAGTTGCCGCTAGCCATGCTATGATAGAGAAAATACTCAGTGAAGAGCCAAGGTGGCAAGGTGAGTTCCTTAGGGTCTTACATAGGGCTGTCCATTGTTCTTGGACTGCCCGCTCCTCCTATCACAAGGTTCTTCATGTAGGAAGCAATATGCTTGTCATCGCGAATTAACCAGCCACACCTGTCTTCACAGACACAACATATGTTTTGGGAAACTACAAAACAGAACAATGTAAGAAGCCCCCACGTCTCTGTCGACAGGGTTATGCCTGCCCTTACTACCATAATAGCAAAGATAGAAGAAGGAGCCCCAGGAAACACAAATACAGGTACAGTGCCTCAAGATCTGGTGTTTTGGAAGGGACCAGTAGTTTTGAGTTTTCTTCAAACCTATTGAACCCATTTATGTGATTACTTCCTTTGTTAAGACACGGATTGTAGTAAAACAAATGGTTCTGTTTATTACAAGTGGGTCCCAATCAAATACTGCTGTGTGTTCTAGGTTGCAGTTCTCAAGTCCAGGGGTGAGAACTGCAGGCCCAAGCACCAAATGTGACCCTCCAGGCCTCTCTGTCCCAACCCTCAGGACTCTCCCTGCTACCCTTTCTCAGGCACCCCTCAATGGCCCTGCTTTGCACCTTCCTCGAGTGCTTTTGCCTTGCTGGAATGTGTCCTAGAGCTGTGATAATGCCTCCTACTTGCATAGATTGAGAAATGCATGTAGGTGTATAGCCATCTCTGACTTTTGCATGGCTGGAATATAGCCTACTGCACAAAGGTAAGTCATATCCATTGAACTACCCACTTTTTGCTTCTGCCTACACAACTAGCATGGAAACCTCAGGAAGTTGCCTAGGAGAAAATGCAGCTGGAAAAAACTGGAAAAGGTTCTCCACCCCTGAATTAGTCCTGTTGAGAGCAATATATTCCTTTTGAAGTTAAGCTCTAAGGATTGGTTCAGATATTGTTTTTGAGAGGAATAAGGGCTGCTGGGTTGTGTGTATACTTCTGGCAACTGTTAATACTGAAAGTGATCCTAATTGTTATATTTAAGAAAATGTTTTGGGGCAGTTTCTTAACACTGGTTACTTGTTTTTATGCAACCTCTGAGTGTTCAGAATGGGTGGTGGTGAGAGCACCCTTAATTTTTGTAGCTGGGGTAAGCTATTTTGCTATTTCTCACTGTCTGTTCAAGCATCTAGATACTAAAAACGTGGGTTATAAATAATATAATATAATATAATATAATATAATATAATATAATATAATATAATAATATAATATGTAATATGGGTGATGAGAGCACTTTTTAATCTTCTAGCTTAGAAAGTTTTGCTCTTTTATTTTTCTCTGTTGTAATTTTCCTGTCTTATATTGTTTTGTTTGATTAATTTATCGCCTTTTATCATGCTTCATTTTTTGTTGTATTAATATGCCATTCACCACTTTGAAGCAAGTTACTGTTGTTGTTAATAAAATTAGTAGTAGTAGTAGTACTTAATAATTGTTGAGATGATATAACTTCAAAAATTGGTGCTGGAATTCTACTGCTGTTCTCTTCCTTCCTCCTTCCTTTTTCCTTATGTATCATGTCTATTAGACTCTGTATCTTTTAATCTCTGTGCAACCCCTAGAATTTGCTTTATAGCAACATAGTGCTAGCACAGTTTTCAGAGTGGGAATCTCTAGTCCTTGTGAAAATTGTGTTACACGTTGAGAATTAATACTTCAAATAGAAAGGCCACATGAAAAGGTATCTCTCTGAGATCACAGGTTTCCATTAAACTCCCACCGTTCATGTTCAAACTGTATTTCAAGCATTGGTCAGTTTGTTACCTTGTCTCCTGCTGTTGTGTGCTTTCCTCTTCTGTGGGGGCAAAGAAGACTGTCCTCTTGAAACCCACCAGCTTCTGTCCTAATTCAATGTGACCTGAAATCATATGTATCTAGTTCTGCATAATGAAGTAAAACCTTTCACTGCCTTGGGAAAAGCTATATTGCAGGTAGCTAAGGTATTCAATATGCAGAAGTAAGCGGCAGGGATATATGGAAGCAGTAGACTGGGCATCCCTGTTTGGGACAGTGAGATAAGTTTATTTGATGGTACCGAGTTGGAATTGGGTTACTTATTCTGTACCATTGCTGCCTTCTTTATGCAGGTCATCCCCATGCCCCAGTGTGAAACATGGAGATGAGTGGGGAGATCCCAGTAAGTGTGACAATGGAGATGCATGCCAGTACTGTCACACCCGCACAGAACAACAATTTCATCCAGAGGTACAGTGAGCAACCCTTCCTGTTGGCTGCCTGGCTAGATAAATGGAGGGGCTCCAGGGTTTATATGTGCTGATAAACAGTAACACTTCTAATAAAAAGTACAATAAGAACACTGGAAGAGAAAGAATCCAAGGGGTCCTGAGGAGCTGAAATTGCTTGAGATCTTGGATTCTTCACCCATAAGTGCTCCTATTGCCATCTAGACATGCTGGGAAGAATGTTTCCTTGGACATTGAGAGTACAGCTGGCAGGGGCTGCAGGAACCAAGGTGAGGGGCCAAATGGGGCTTGATGGTTGGATGTAGGAGAGTGAGAAAATTTGGAGTGGACTATGGCGCATGCGGAAGCCTAGAAGACACAAGAGGCTGAGGGAGGTGCATGAGATCTAGGTAGTACCCTGAGGGGCTAGGCTGACTCCTTGCCTTGTTTTTCTGAATTTGAGACATAATTCGTCCAAAATGCGAAAAAAGAATTTTTACCGTCTCATAAGGTATTCAGAGCAAAGTCAGAACAGTGATGGGGAACTAAATGTCATGAAGGCTTTCATAGTTGGAACAGAATGTGTGATGAATTTGGGAACTGACACCTGTGCATACAAGGACAGCAGAGTTAGTCTTAGTGTACACAACCCTTATCATAAGAAGACCATGTGTTTTCTAGCAACATTTGATGTTACTGTTGGGACATGGCTGCCCTGTCTATCAGCAGGATCCTTTCAAACTCTAGTTAAACATAGTTGAAGCAGTTCAACTATGGTTCCTTTCCTCATTCCCCAAAGACTGCTGTTCTGGCAGCATTGGGTGGCAGGGGCTTTGGGAGTGGTTCCCATGGATCCATATACACATGGAAACACTTCTCTTGAATGGATACTTGAATGGATACTTATTTTGTGATCTGATTCTGGATCCTTAGATAGAGCCAGTGTATGCACAGGACCATCATTCAGTAAGTTGCAAGAGTCATTAAAGCTGCAGTCCTATACACACTTATATGGGAGTAAGTCCAGCCAAACTTTTGAGCAGACGTGCAAAATATTGTGATGACGTTCTAATCAACTGTACTAATGTGTATTATCAATGGTAATACTGCTAAAATTAATTCTGTGAATGTCAAATATAATTTGGGATCAGAGTTATATGTAAAGCATAACTGAGGCACATCAAACTCAGTTGCATTTCTTGGTATAGTTCTATTTTTATTTTTTTAAAAATCATTATAGATAACTATATGTGCTCACTTGCATCACATTTTGTGCTTCCCCCCCCCAGATCTACAAATCAACAAAATGTAATGACATGCAACAGTCTGGCAGCTGCCCCCGAGGACCCTTCTGTGCCTTTGCACATGTAGAACGTAGGTGGTCTTATCTTTATCTAGCAATAAAGTGTAAGCTGTGAGAGAAGTGTCATCCTGGGTTCAAAGTGGGACTTCATTTGCTGGATCAAGCAAAATTCAAAACAAATTACCCCCCTCCCCTCAGCAAGTCATGGGAAAGAATTCAAAAATAAATATTCCAGTGGATTTTATTTTGTGTGTTGTATCTTTTACTTTGGAAAAGACTCTTTAGCCACCAGATGGTGTGCGCTCTAGTTGCATTTCCTCAAAATTAAGTGACACCTAGTGGCCACTCAAGGTAATGTACAGTTTTAAGTTTCGCTGTGGGCATTTTGGGCTGCTGGTTTGTAATTTGCCTGCCTGAGGCTGTGAACACACAATTTCTTTCTGTGGAGGAAAGGAAAGAACTCATCTGCTGTAGTATTTGACCTGATCCTTTCGTGAAGGAGTTTTCTGCTTTTGAGATTTCTTTTTAAGAAGCCAGATCAATGTGGCACAGATCACTTGGTTGGATTCTTAGAAATGATGGGCAAGAATTTTTGGACACTTGATCAAGACATATTTCATAGAGGGAGGAGCGGTGATAGGATTTTCCTCTTCAGCAAGGCACTGGTAAGTATGGATGGGGGGATCTGTGACTCCCCAGGTGCTGTTGGACTGCAACTCCCAGCCTGGTCAGTCGTTGTGAATGATGGGAGTTGTTATTCAACCACGACTAGTGGGGCACAGATTCACTACCCCTGCTGTAGCTCAACACTGGCATTAAAAGTGAAATAAACAGTGTCTTGCCCTAACCTGAAATATGTAAGAAGAAAGCTGAAATGATTTTTGAACTACCCACTCTCTGCAAATCACTTTGGAGGAATGAAGGCAAAGCCACCCCCGCAAATCCAGTCTGAATCGGTAAATGTCCTCTCCATTGAACCCACCCAGATCTTGTCTGCTGAGCTGAAGACTGGATCTACTTCATATTCTTTCCCTTCCAGGTGCCCCAGACATTTCAGGGTGGGCTTGCCACGCAGATTCAGAACAACTGTTACAGCTCTTGTTTCTCCATACATAACCTATTCTGCCATATGAATTGTCTAGTTTGCGCTATTGGGAACATGGGATCTTTCTGTACGTAAAAAAAAATCAATTCTAGCGTTCTGAAATCAAATCAGTGTTTCACACTCAATACTAAGGTCTTTCTGTCTCTATTCCAAAACAGAGGGCTAACAACTGGGAAGGGCTATTGCCTTTAGGCATCACATCATGGGTGTAGCCAGGATTTATTTCAGGGAGGCAGACTTTATGTTGCGGGGGGGGGGGGGGCAGAACCAAGTTATCTGCAACACAATTGTGTTTTTTTTATTTATTTACTTAATTTGGGTGGGACAGCTACCCCCCCGGCCCCCTGGCTACAGCCATGCCTCACACCTGGGCTTTCCAGAAGCATATGGTTGGACATAGTTGGAAATAGAATTCTGTACTGTGTAGACAGTTGGTCTGATCCAAGAGGGTTGTTGTTATAGTCTTACATTCTTTCGGCTATGATTCTAAGCAAGCATACAGAAGAAAGCATCATTGAAATTGTAAGCTTGCTTACCTAGTAAATATGCTTAGAATTGGAGTGTCAGTCATAACCGTCAAGGTATTCTTAGCCATCATTGAACATTAGAGATGGAAACCCTGATTCAGCAGGTCTTTTGAATGAATCGTTACATCTGTCATTGCTTTAAGAGTGTAATTTATAATTTTACGAAAAGCTAAGACACTCAAGGCAACAAACCAAACATTTATCAACTTTGTGTTACTTCTGTGCTGGTATGAGGATTGCTGCAAATAGATATGGATCTATGGAACCTCTGCACTTAGGAGAACCATAAGATCCATTTTCATTTTTCTGCATACATTGTGTCATGTTTTTGTTTTGTGTTTCTTACAGAACCTCCACTTAATGAAGAGTTACAATCAACATCCTCTGTTTCCAGTCCTACACAAACAGGCCCTGTAATGTATATGCCCTCGGCAGCAGGCGATTCTGTTCCCGTCAGCCCTTCTAGTCCACAAGCCCCAGACCTTAGCAATGTACGTAGAAATTTTGAAAGTTCTTCACTTTGTAGGTTTTTACTGCAGACTTCTCTAAATATGAATGCCTTCTAGAGGAAGAAGCTGCCCCCTCGGACTCAAATACGTTACATTAAGGAAATGGTGCCTATATTTTTTCCATAAAATTTACTTAGAATTTGTGGGGGTTGGCAGAGCACTGGGATGCAAAACAGGTTTCCATCTGTGAGCTGAGATTTTGAAGGAACATAGTGGCATGGGTTTAAATCACAACTGCCACTTTCAAACTGGATTAGACAAGCTGAGCTGCTTTAAATTTACTTGGAAGTCATTTTCGAGCTGCCATATGGAGCAGCCCAAGGCTTTTCTGTGAAATTTAATACTGTTGTAATGCTCCCTGCTTAGAATTTGTCCCATTTGGGAAGTACTCTTTCTTCATCTGTAAATGACTGCTTCTAGAACACCTATTCAAATCATTAAAATGTTTGCATGGTTTTGCTTTTCTCCTCTTGAATAAAGTGCAATCTCTTGTTGTGGGTGCTGAGCTCTGTTGTATAGGTCTCATCTGAATTGCTTACCTTGTGAATAGTGGCAGCTGCTCCTAACTAAATGTTTGGGAATACAGCCTTGGAGCTTGTGTACTATGATATGTTTGAAGAATTTAACCTGGGGTAGTTGCCCTCTGTTTTCATGTTAAGCTAAAATTAAGCTGTAGTTATCCCTTGGGAGAGTCTTGCATATTTCTAGTGAATCATATCAAGTCACTGTTTAGAAGTAGACATCCTGCTGTCTAGTGGCAAGCTCACACTCTCACCTTTTGGCGAGCAAATTGTAATGTCTCCTTCCAAGTCCACCTGCTTTTGTCATACTGAAGCACCCTTTGTCTGTTGTTACTTCAGCCTGCTCAGCTGTGTATGTAGGCTGCAAGCCGAGTGAATGATGTTTTAATTATGCCTATTACGTATGACTGATTAAAGTTAAATAAATTGCTCATCCCACATATTCTGTGTTATGTCTTTGTCTTTGACTGTAGGTATGGAATAAACCAGGAACTCTGCCAACCAGCCCCACTTCTACTACAGTAAGTATCAACTCTAACTGGGGAGAGAGAGCATTACACAACCTGTGCTGGTTGAATGAAAATTGTTATTGTAAGAGGCTCCCAACAGTCCCCTCTTCCTTAATTCAAACCTCATCTGTTTTACATTTTGAAACAGTTGTTATGTTTGCCACAGTCCTGTATGTTTGCAGATCAGTAGCTCTCAGCCAACATGGCTTGTTATACCTCCACTGTTGGGAGGCAGTATGCCTCCGGATACCAGTTGCTGGGAATTGCAGATAGGCAGAGTACTGTTGTGCTCATATCCTGCTTGCAGGCTTCCCACGGGCATCTGGTTGTCCACTGTGAGAGCAGGATGTTGTGCCAAATGGACCATTGACCTGATCCAGCAGGCTCTTCCAATGTCCTTCCATTATGTGCCGTTGGGCACATAAATTAGATTCCCTAAAAGTTTCTAGTCCTTATGGCTATGAATATCCACATAAACATCTCCTAGAAACTCTTAAGTACAGAATTCCTGACAAATCACTCAGCCATTAAACATTGTGTCCTGAAGATACTCTCCTTTTCTTTTGTCCATGGTTCTTTAGCAAAGCAACCTTGAATGACTGCATATGTAAAAAACAAAGCCGAGTGGCTTCTGATAATTTGGAAGTTCTCTCTCCCAGTTGTGCATAAATACTAAAGAACTCTCATTTTTCTCATTGCTGTGATGGGTCCAATAACCATAGTTATTTATGACAGGGAAGGATGGGAAGTCCCCAATAAGAGTGATGCAATCAAACATTTCAAAAGAAGTTTTTAGTTGCTTTCAATTCTGTACTTGTAAGCTGCCTTAAGCATTTTTCTACAGAAAGGTAGGGTGTAAATGTTTTAATAAATGAAAACATTAAGTTAATTAAAAATATTTATCAATTTAGGTCAAGGAAGAATGGAACACATGGTTCATATGGGGCTGTAAATATGTAGGAAAACTGATACAAAGAATTTGGGTTATGGGAATAAGAGTAAGAAGGTGTGCTGAGTGAAAATATTCAGCACTATGATCACTATAAACCACTTCCCAACCACCTCTATTTTCTAAAGCACAGACTGATGTCACATTTTTTATACTTTTTTTCTTTTAAACTTGAAGCATAGAATTGTAAGATTCTGAAGAAGCAACAAGGTTTTGCACTAGAAATATGTGTTCTGCTATGGGATTATGTTGGCTGTGCTGGTTTCTAAATGTCACTTGAGAGAGCATGAAGAACTTGTGAGCTGAATGAGAAGAATATGAGATTGTCTCTGGGATCAAGATACGGTTGTGCATTTCTGAGATGCTAAAGCATGAAAACTTGTGATTTATGTTCCCAGTTGACCTAGCTGAATCTAACAACTTAGTTATCTGGAGGTTTTTCCATCGAAGGCCATCTGCAGTAGTGCAAGACAGAATGTTACAATCCTAGGAATCTGTAACTGCACACTATATGAGTTCCACTCATGTTGTGACCTGTGCTGTTTTTTTCTTCCTTCTTCCATTAGATTCTCTGTAGGAATAGCAGTCTTGGAAGCCCATCTAATATATGTGGGTCTCCTCCTGGTGCCATTGGAAAACCCCATAGTTTGGAAAGCATTGGCTTCCCCACAGATTCAGTAACTGCAGCCAGCAGCTACAAGAAGGCACCAGGATTTGAGCGGGAAGACTTGGTTGGAGCAGAGTACCTAAAGAATTTCAAATGCCAGGTAGGTGGGGAGTACAGGGAAAAGGGACCTAAGGGTTTCATATTGGCTTTGAAGCCAACTGCCCAAACCACTGCAATATGTTGGTGAAACATCTTGGTACTTCCCTAAGCTACGAAATTGGCGCTAGACAAGCACGGCACAAGGGCTCCTGGTATTGTGATACATAATCAAGTAATCCAAAGAAAGAATCTGAAGCAAACTTTACATATTTTTTACATACCACAAAATCAGCCACCTGGAACTTTCTATTGGGCTAGTCTAGAGACACATTTCTCGAAACGTTTTTTTCCAGGCAAGGACCCGAGTCAGAGTTCCTTGGCATAAAGAAAATTAATATCCTTGCTATCCGTGTTAGTGCACTTATCACGGTATATTTTTAGCCTAAAGGGATTATTTTTCTTCCTGAAAAAATATCTGAAGAAGTGTACATGCACACAAAAGCTTATACCCAGAACAAACTTAGTTGGTCTCTAAGGTGCTACTGGACTATTTTTTAATTTATTTCGACTGTGTCAGACCAACTACCTGAATCCCTGAAAAAAGGCATTTAGAATATAACTGCAGTGATACTTAAAATGGACATATTTGAATATTTTCATGAAGATATAAAATAATCTCATGCTTGCAGAGAAGCCACTGGGAATATTACAGCAACAACAAACTTTATTACAGTCGCAGACCAGCATAACTGGGACTTTAACATTTATTCTGGAGTATTGATGGAGTAGGATTTTTCTTACCAACTTTTCCTTAAATGCCCATTTTTTTCCTTACCAGGCATAGACTAAGAAAACATTCCACACTTTATTTTCATTGTTAATCTCACCACATGAGTCACAGTGGAGTACAAAGATTACAGGGCAATCATATGCATGTTTAAAACTTGGAAAGTTTATTTCATTTATTTCAATTGGATTTACATCCAATTTATCAGTACCATATGTGCTGGGAATCCCCACTACCATTTATTGTCTAATACTTTTTTCCTTGTCTAATGGGCTCTGAACTTTCTGGGAGCAGCCAAATAGAGAAAGTTTTGTTAGAATCCCATAGCCCTCTCAAATGCTTAAAGTCAGCAATTTCACATTTGTATACTCCCCCTCCACTCGTCTTTCTTTTTTGTTCTGTTTACTGCAGCAGGCAAAGATTAAATCCCATTCCTTGGAACATAGAACCCAAGAACAGCCTCTGTTACAACCAAAACAGGTATGTTATCCCAAATTGGCCCTAGACTATTCCTGTGTGTTTATGCCATCTCATCCATGGCTTCCAAGCCTACTTGTGGATGCTGGATGAAGTATGGGTGGGTGGTGGTATTTTCCTAAGAGTTTTTTTTTTAAATAGTCCCTAAGAAATGTATATTCAGGTATGTGCAAATGCTGAGGCTGTGTATATAGAGGAGCATCCAAATTAGAAATCTAAATATGAATTCAGCTGCAGAGATAATTAAAGAAAGGGTTTAGTACAGCTCATTGAACCTTATTCTGATAAAATTGTACACAATTATGATTATATGATGCCGCTGATAATGTATGAGAAGTGTTCTAAAAGAATCAAAGTTGTCCTTCATAACTGTAGCATACGTTTGTTTTGGCATTGCGTTGTATATTAAAACTACTGTGAACTGCCCTGAATGTATGTTGATATAGAAGTCTGTGGTATAAATTATAAATTATATATATATGAGAGCCTGTTATGTGCTTTTCAAGGCTCAGATTCTACTCTGAGTCTTGAAAAGTAGATAGAGCTGGAAGAGAAAGCGGGAAAGGGTGCCATTCTTTCAACTTCCTCCTTCAGAACTATTTACTTTTTTGGGAGGGGGGCAGCAAAAGTTACCACTCTCTCCATCTCATGATGGAAGGGTAAGTGGGAGAGGAGGCTTTATGGGCACCAGGGAAAGTCCTCAAGAGTTCTGTTGTGCACATGAGCACCATGTTGGCACCCCCAGAGCTAGGGACTTGCTCATACACTTTTTAAATTGCATGCTGAGAATGAATTATCCAGTGTTTAAATATATGTCTCCCTCTTTCAGGATATATTGGGGATTCTTCCTGTTGGCAGCCCACTGACATCTAGCATCTCTTCTAGTATCACTTCTAGTTTGGCAGCAACACCGCCAAGTCCAGCAGGCACAAGCAGTGTCCCTGGCATGAATGCAAATGCCCTTCCATTCTACCCAACCAGTGACACAGTGGAGTCTGTGATAGGTAATACTGCCTATACTCATGGGGACCAGCTCTGAAAGGGAATATAATCAGCCTGGGAAATAGGAGCATGCTGTAGATCTAGATACCTGGGGAATTTTTGCAGAATCCCATCTTTCTTTTAGAGGCGGCTGATATGACATGCACAGTCTTCCACGCATCATAATTTCAGCTCTGAATTATATAAAAATGTGTCAATATGGTGAACTGGATATTATGATTGCTCTGAATTTTTTGTGTAGTGAAATTGATGTCTTGTTTGCTATCCATCTTACTTTATGCTTGCTAAATTTACAGATCACAAATTTGGCCCAAAGTGCTACTGTATTGGGCTAGTCCAGGACTCTATTTAATTCATGTGACAGGTGTAATTTGTGGTTGAGCAACTGTTTTCATAAATTTTACAAGGATGAAACTCGGATCTGAACACATCAGCAGAAGTCCATAGCCAGTCTGTGCCTTAGGTGAAGATTTAAAAGGACCTTGTTTATACTTCCCTTCCAGGGTGTGGTATGTCACCGTATTTTAATCTCCTGATTTCCCAAGGAGATTAATAGCACATATTGTGCAGAGCAGGTATTTCCCTTTTTATTTTCTCCTCAGGCACAACTTTATTTACTATTTTTTATTATTTCTAAACAGGGGATATATAGTGTTGCTTCATGTTGGCCTCTCATTGTCCAGATATCTTATTATTATTGCTAATGGTTTATGTTCTATAACAGTGCTGTGCCACTACCCTCCCAGAAGGAGCACCATTGCTGCTTACTGGGATGGTGCAGGGGCAGCGTGGAGGCAGGATCAGGGCTCGGATTGGCTCTGCCAGTTCACCCTTCCAACCCCAACCTCACTGCTACCCTGCCCATCCCAGAAGGCAACACTAACGTTGCTCCCAGAAGGGCAGCAGAGTGATCCCGCCCCAGCCCCTTCTGCCTGAAATGATAAAAAACAAAAAGAGAATTCCTGGCTTTGAAATGAAAAGTTTGCAGTAGTGTGGTGGAGGACAGGAAGGGCAACTTCTTTAGCCCCAAACAGGCTCTTGTTACACATTTTAATAGGCATCCTGTGGGGAATTGCAGTCTTTTTTGTGAAAGGCTCGAAAAGCAACCTTTTGGAAAAACGCCAAACCACAATACAGGCTTTGGAGGAAAAAGGGGCTGGGGAGCAACCATTTCAGTACAGAAAACTGTGATCTATTTTATGGTCCACATTTCTGAAGTAACATGAATATAACACATGCCATACTTTTCTTTGAGAGACAACATTAATGGGGCATATTTGCTGGACATATTAAATTGGCTAGAAATGACACTTGGGAAGAACCTGTGGAGGCTTGCTTCATCTCATCCCAACTGGCAATGCCCATGCTATGTATCACTGATCCATTGTTGGGACACTGCTGGCTATAGCCTGCTTCCTAGGGTATGCTAATCCATCCCCTTTCCCTGATGCCCCTCACCTGACTGCTGCACTCGACCCCCTTCTTTCCACTGCCATACCTGCACCTCATTCCTACTGCCCATCTCCTCCTCCACTGAATTGCAACCCAAGTCACTGCTCCATTGTGGAATTCCTAAAAGAGGGAAATTCCAATCACCATGCATCATGGATACCCAGGTTACTAGGTGACTGGGATGGGCACCCTTCATTCAAGCTGTCCTTGGATGTATTTCTTCCCAAAGTCAAGCTGTACAGCAGGTGTCACTGGATGATCTGTTCTGCATTGCTGTTTATTTCTGGTGTCAATCTGTGGGAAAGAACCTGATGCTGAAAGCTTTTAGGGCTCAAAAACAATAGGAAGTGATATGGAAAGCTGCCTTGTTTAGACAACTGTTGACTAATGGCAGTATTGTACAGTGGGGAGCAGGGCCCTATAGATCCTCCTGTCCAGAGCAGTGTCATCTCTGCATGTAGGCTCTTTGGGCTTCCCTATCCCTTGAAGTTGTTGGTCCTTTTTGTATTATATAATTGGTGCCTCTGTCTGGCAGAGTCTGCCTTGGATGACCTGGACCTGAACGAATTCGGAGTGGCTGCCCTGGAGAAGACATTTGACAGCAGCTCGGTGCCCCACACGAGTGGCATCATGATAGGTACATGAAAGCAACAGAGCTTTCTTTGATCTTCTGCCAAGCAGGGTTCGCCCCATCAGCTGGCTGAAGCAGCCTAACAAGCTCTCAAAACCAGTCCTAACATTATATGTTGGTTTGCAGCCAATGGGAGACCTTGGAGCAAAAGGGCTCTCATTGACTAGCAGATTGGAAATTTATTCCACTGGTTTCAGATGTCCCAGTTATGTTTATGAAATTGACATGGCTTATTTGACACACTAAACATGTTTATGAAATTATGACATGAACATTTCACGGAGGGGGGCGGGAAGTCATTTTAAAATAATGAGAAACAAATTGGATTGTTTTCACTGTTCTGCTGTCACAGGACCATGGCAAGACATTATCGCCACACATTGACAAACTACCGCATATGTATCTCATCATTTGTATGTGGTCATTTCAAACCAGCGTCCATTTTGTGTGTGTGTCTGGTTGTTCAGGTGAAAATAGTCCTTACAACCTTGGTCCCCTATTGTAAGAATCCCATAATGCATTTACACAGGTTGTTGTTGTTTTGTGAACTAAGCCACATGCAAATTGGTAGCTATTTCCGCTCATGCTGTCTGAACTCTGTCTCTGAATGGCATAGCCATCAGCTTAGACCTGATCCTCCATGGTGCCAGATGTTGTATGTTGCAGACCATTGCAGAATGCTCTGCAGTGGCCTTCCATCAATACACAATTCTATTTCACCACATCCTGCCCTCAATATTGGTTCAGATTTGAGCAGTAGCACAAATCAGAATGATTTTCCACATACCCAAGTGATCAAGTCTGCTTTCACAAAAACCAAAGAGGTAGAATTCAGCATGAGACAATTCTGCACTGGTATTGTGCCTATGCTTACTCTGGCTAAAACAATTTGGAAGTGGGTGCTGTTTACGGTGCAGACATCACAATTCAAGATAGGAGTCAGAATAGGGTCCAAATAATGTTTTTCATGCAATGTAGACACAGTGTTGGTTCCCATGAAGGTAACTGCCCTTTTAATGATGGTTGCAAAGACTGTGCTCCTCAGATTATCAGTAAACTGATTGAGGACTCTAGTTTTGTGGGCAGCACTTTGTATCACAGTCCTCCTGAGTTGACTTAGAATAACACATTGGTTACTTCTATTGTAACTCTGTCTAGGTTAGAAGGAGGATGGAGAGTTCTATGGCATGTAAGAGTCCCTCCCCAGGCCATCCTAGAAGCACTCTTAATTTCTGAATCTAATTTCTGAACAGGTGCTGCTGTGCATTTTCAAGCTTTATAAACATAAGGGGTAAAAACTGAGTTTTCAAAGAATGAAACCTGAGATTCTTATTATTCTGACAACATTAGCAAATCCCATGCTACTGAGTTTGATTCCTCTGAGCTCCTCTGTTGTTCAGATTGGGAGGTGATTTCCCCCATTCTCTTTCCTGTAGATCTAGCAGAAATAATTATGGTGTTGAAATTTAATGATCTGATCTTCTCAGACATCTTTTTACTGAAGAGTATAGTTTTTTACAGGTGTATTAAAAATGAAGGTTGTAATTTGCCCCATTGAATTTGTGGCTTCTCCCTTGACTTTGAATATCGAGAAACGGCCCCATTTGCTGTTGTTTAACTGATATTAAGAACATAACTTACATCCCTAATATTGGGGTTGGGGAGGGATTTGAACTTACAGAAATATTTTTGGCAGGATATGTAATGTGATGGGGAAATATATTTTTAACTAGTACAATAGCCCTTGGAAATGTAGTTGCTTAATCCATGTGATATGATGGACACATATTTTCTTGTTCCTGTGAAAAGAGTCTTAAAGATGCCCATTATCACCATCGCTGGCCACTTCTTTGTTTTAGAGAAATGCAGCCTCTTGCACTAATAAACAGTGGAGATAGTGCAAAAGCAATTTAGTTTAAACATGCATAATTTGAATTAGTTTATTGTCATTGTGGAGAGACAGATGAAAAAAGCTGTCTAAATGTCTCCCTTGACAGTCCCTTAAACTCTTAAATGACCCCCTTGTATGTTGGAGTACAGTTGACACTGTCCAGATGTCCTATTTTGCACAGTTAACACCCAAGAAAGTTGCTACTGTACCTTCCTCGGCCAGAGGAACAGTTCTCATAATGCTCTTTCTGAAGGTAAAGAGGGATGGAAAGTGGAGAAAACCCCCGGACTCCCCCGTCCTTTACTGGTGCAGAGAGTGAAGCAAACACCTGCTGTTCAAATTCCTGTGCTGTGCTTCCACTCATAACTCATGGCTTCTACATTCCCATCCTTTCTGTGTGTTCTTTGTCCAGGTGGGAGTTTGCTGCAAAGTTCTGCTCCTGTAAATATCCCTGGGTCCCTTGGAAGTTCTGCCTCCTTTCACTCTGCCTCTCCTTCTCCACCGGTCAGCTTATCATCGCATTTCCTCCATCAGCCCCAGGGACACTTAAGCCAATCAGAAAACACATTCCTGGGGACATCAGCTTCTCATGGATCATTAGGTAAATGCCCAGTGCGTATGTGAGAGTGTGCATGTGAACATGTACATACCTGTCTATACCATGTAAGTATTTTCCTTTTATCTTAGCTTTCATTTAAATGTCCTCATTTTGTGTTGCCACCTAACATATCTTGTGCCCAATGCCTATCAGACGAGGAAGAATTCACTAAGCCTAAGGACATCCCAGAAAGAATTTCCCTGCACAAAATAATCAAACAACAGATGAGTTAAAATAGTTTGGGATACCCATACAACAAAGAGCAAATGTAGCAAAACACATTAGGAAAAGTTAAGCAAATTCCAAATGTGTAAGGATGACCCAAGAGTTAAATTCACAGAAGGTAGACTTTCTGCAGCTAAGAGAAGGAGGCAAATAGTCTCAACAGTAGCTCAGTAGATGGATGAGCATATATTAACCACAGCAGTAGCGTCTCATCAACAGAGTTGCTGCTGTTTACCAGGAGAGGAAAGGGTAGAGGTGAAGTGGTGAAGTCAGGGCTGTGTGAACACACCAGCAGGAGCACTGGTTTGGCCCAACCAATTTGTCTGCACAAATCTTACTACCACCTCGCTTCTCCTGGCAAACAGCAGTGACTCTGCTGCTCAGAGGCTGCTGTGGCTCCATCCCACTGGGCAAGACACTCCTGCGTTACAGAGTATCAGCAATCATAGAAAAAGGTTCAAATATGTGATACCATTTGCAATTAGCTTCTGATGCACTTGGAATAGTTGACTTTTTCAGGCTTAGACCTCTTAGTCATACCTGGTCAGTTATAGCTAACAGACATGAGCTCTGAAAATCAGATACTTGCAAGCCTATCAGAAGCGAAATATTTTATCTCTTCCTAAACAGTTTCCAAAAGACTCCTGGGGTTGTATCCAAAACATTTTTACTTGTACAATGGGACTTCTCCCCACCCCCTTTGCTCCCTAAATCTGTTCTAGGGGTTTCCTCAACCCTCCAGAGTAGATTTAGGGAGCAGAGAGACAGGGGACGTCTCATTGCGTAAGCAGAAATTCTTGCAGTGACGGAATGTGTTGGTTGGACGTCAGTCACCCTTGATATTCAAAGTAAAGCAAGGGCTCAGTATTCCATGTGTAACAGACCTAACCTGAATGATGCTCCTTTAAATCATGAAAGCTGTGCAGTGATGGGAGTACCTTTGAGTTTGCTCAGAGTTCCTTCCATTACCATTACACAGCCCTACAACCAGATCTCTCGCTGCAAAGATTAGTCAGACTGGGTTCCAGGAATACTTTCCATTTGCAAGACAACCCACCCCATACTGTCTGTTTAAAGGAACATTTGGCCTGCTTTAGAACCAGGGGTGGTGTGTTCCATTTCACCGTTTGAGGAGAAACGGGAAGTATCGCTTTGCCCTGCTGCCGCTCTGACCACTACCACCTACTTGCTCCTGCCGCAGCCATGCGCCTTGCCACATCTGCCTTTGGCAGAAAAGCTGCGCCACCATTGGCACTGAGTTGGGGCAAGATCATGCCCCTTTCAGTGTTGATTGCACAGAGGCAACAGGGCAGATGGGGCACTTGTGGGCATGCCACCTAGGGGGGCTTCTGCTACCTGAAGCAGCAGCCTCACCTTGACTGGTCCAGCTCTGTTTAGAACAGTTACATCAAATTTTGCCATGGTAGTAGGAAGGCAAGAGCAGAAGCATTCCTTTATTGTTACTTAGAATGTTCCTGGGCTGGATTCTGGCATCAAAATCAGGTTCAAAGGTTAAGCATTGGCTCCAGTTAAAAAGACATGATTATACAAATGAATCTTTACAACCTGGGGGGTAGCTATAGTATCTATAAATGGAAGAACCTCAGAAAATTCAACACTTGGCATTTGCTGAATGTCCTATGGACGGTACAGCATAGAAGTGTGCCTGTCTCTGGTAAAGAGGTTTAAAGTCTAGGCAGGACACACAGGAGAGAATAAGGTAAATGACAAAGCAGTGTGCAGGAAGTATGTGGGAAGAATTAAGAACTAGGTACTTGTTTTTATGTGTTTAATCACGTCTTGTCTATCATCTGTATAACCACCCGCTTGGTGCATTATATTGCAAGTGGTAAATGTGTACATGTTTGATTTTATTTACCCTGCCCTTCAACTACTATCAGGAGTAGCTTACAAAAAAATAAAATTATACTAATTTTACAATAAGCATCTTGTGCATGTGTAGACTCAATTCAGATCATGGCCTAATTGTAAGCCAAACCACGGGCATCTGCATTATTGACGCTCATTAGGCTGGCTATCAGTTGAAAATGTGTTTTCAATAAGCAGTTTTGCTATATATTTTTTACTCCTCTATTAAAATGTATTCCTGCATAAAAATAGCATGCATACATAGAAAAGAGTAACACAATAGCAAGCCAGGGTCTTTAAATAAAGCAAAACATATGGCATTTTAAGAAGCAGAGTTAGCTTTTATAAGTGATAGAGTATTTTTATTGTTTATATCATCTTCTGTAGTAGCATGTGCCCTTGACCTGGTTCCTCTGCTGTGACCTAATTTATAACACGGCTATGACTGGAATCAGGATGAGCTCACACTAGCCATGCTGCTTAATAAATCAGTGTGGTGAGCAGTGCTTTAGTTCCACAGGAAAAACTAAACTGTGATGGGTAATTCAGTGTGAAGAAGAAAGCTTTAATAAAAACACCTAGAATGGTATTGCAGATATTTTTCTACTGCAGCTTATTCTACCGGAGCATATTTTTGTAGGAAATACACTTTATTTTATCTATTTAACAAAATTGGCATGCCATTTGATTGCAGTAAGCCCTCTAAGTGGTTTACAAGAATACATAATTTGTTATGACAGAATAAGAGCAGCAGTAGTGGTGTGTCGGGTGGGGTGGAGCTGCAGGGGCACACTTCTGGCACCAGTGTTGCTGCCTGCGAGGGGCTGGGATAGGTTGAGGCTGTGCAGGCACACCAGCAGGAGCACTTGACTGGCTCTGCCAGTGCTGCCACGCAGGCTGACTTCAGCCCTATCCAAAAGGAGCAGCTCCACAGCTCCACCCCATCACATGGAGCACTACTGGAGAGCACTCTCTGTTGCTCCACAGACTCTGTGGATCTATTTGCAACCTACCCTTTGTATGTGTGAGCTCTGGCAGAAAACAGCAGCAGAAGAAACTGTATCCAATTTATTCCCACCTGGTTTGAGATGGCGAGGCATTTTGCATTATTTGGAGCAGAAAAAGCAGGTGTAAGACTCAGCTGGGAACCTCAGCCAATCCCCGCCCCTGGTGTTATACAGGTGTTTTTGCAAGCACATGTTCATTGCACAGTACATTTTTAAGCACTCTCATAAAAATGTAAACTGTGCAGTGAGCTTTATTTCCCTTAGTATTAAACACTGCCTTATTCTAAAAAATAAAATAAAACAAAATCTGAGGGCCAGTTCTGATGTGAAGTGAGCTGGTTCCTCAGATGAACTTCTGAGTAAGATCAGCAAAGGCACAGATTTGGACACGAAAAATGGCTTAGTGCTGGTTTGTACTGAAGAACTTCACGTGGTGAATAGATCTTAAGTATTGCAATTGTAGATTCTTATACTAATGTATTCAAATCACATATGGGTTTGGTTTGTTAAAACGATTCTAATTCTGATCAAAACAAAATGGTGTAATATTAGAGAAAAATCTTTCAAAAGTAGAAGTGTGAATTGCAACAATGTTTGGAATAAGATCTAATTAGATTGATTAATGAAGTTACAAGATTAATGGCTAAGGGCTTTTTTAAAACAACCCACACACAGGTTTTGCTGTTTAACCAGGCCTCTGCTTATACTGGCAGTTGCTAGCATATCTGTTTTAGTTGCGCTGTGGCCAGTGTCTCACGTGGAGATCTTCCCTGTGTGGTGCATCTAAGCCTGTATCTCTCTGCACAGCAGTTATAGGTTAGATGCAGTACGAAGTGCTCAGTAACACTCTTGGAACCAGCATGCCATGTGTCATATTTTTTAAATGTAGAGAATATTTACCGTGTTGCCATTTCTTCTGTGTAAGCCAGAGTGACAAACCGTAACTCTACAGGTACATGAATGTCCCTCCCCAGAATCCCAAAATGAATCAATGCCCTGTGAAATATTGAACCATTTCATTCCCTTTCCAAAACAATACCGGGCAAGGAAAGGGGTAATCCAGGAATATATGTGACGTAACATTTTCCCCCTTCCTGTCTGCATGAAACAGGTTTAAACGGGATGAACAGCAGCATATGGGAGCACTTTGCTTCTGGAAGTTTTTCACCCAGTACCTCGCCTGCATTTCTGTCGGGTCCAGGTGCTGCTGAGCTGGCCAGGCTGCGGCAGGAATTGGATGAAGCTAACAGCACAATAAAGCAGTGGGAAGAATCTTGGAAACAAGCCAAACAGGTAGCGTCCGCTGGGAGGGGTGAGTGAGAGTGGTTTGCCAGGATACTAATGGGCAAAAGCATCCACCTAACAGCTGAATAAATAGTTTGAGGGTCCAAAAATAATATACAAAGTCAGATTTGGTGTGTGTTATACTGTAACATAGTTCCCTCACAGCAGACACGGGGGTTTTGTTTGTTTTTCTTTTTTAGCTCTTATCAATGGAGAAAGAAACCGATTGATACCTTAGATATGCTGAGGAGTAGGTTGCAAATTGTAATAGGATTTGAAAATGTTCATGCCAAGGTTGCTAGTGTTCCTCTAGGAGTATTGGCTTCTTTCCAGTTGTATCTGAGCACACCTTTCCAATTGTCCCAAGCTTTTTGATTTATGTATCCCCTGAAAATTGATATGCTCCTCACCTTTTTGTAGTAATGCTCTAATTATTTTGAGGTTAGTAGCTGTGCACTGAAAGAATGGTAAGCCTCTCCTTCTGCATTCAAGATGCTGTGTAAATGTTCTCCGTCTGGGGATGTACGTTTCCACCCCGCTCTGGCCAGGTTGGCTAACAAGACTAGGGTGGGTGTGAATATATGCTTTTTGCTAAACTGTTCCCATAACTAGATTGAGACAGATGGATTGCATTTAGTAAATTGTTCCCTGAGCTGGTGTTAGGCGCTGGAGTCAGGCATAGGTCAGCAATAAAACAATAAAGCACCTGATGCCAGTGAAGTTAATTCATTATTCAAAGAAACAAAACAGCTCAGTCCTAGTGATCACAGCAACCCTTCCCAGTAGGTCTTGCCCTAATGAGGCAGTTGTGAGGACTGAAAGTCCCTGCCTTCCCTCTGCTCTCCAAGGCTCCTCCTCCAGTTGTTTCCCCACCAGCCTAAGGCTCTGCCACCTTGTATCTCATTGCTCTGCCCTCTTGATTGCTCTGTGTGGTCTGGGAGACCAGGAGGGACGGGAGCTGGTTGCAGTAGGAGAGGAAGACTCCCTGGCTTCTTCTGCAGCCTGCCCCTACTCTGCCTCTTGACCCCACTCTGCTTCTGCCTCTGCTTCTGGAGTGCTCTCTGCCACAGCCTCTTCCTGCTCACTAAACCCTGTGGCCTCTTCAGCTTCCAACACCTCCTCCTCCTCCCAGTTTGCTTCCGCTTCTCCCTCTGACCATACGTTGTTGTCCCACCACCAATCCCCTGGCTGTGAGCTTTCTTGCCCTGGGGGTTCCTTTGGGACCACTCTTCTGTATCCAGCCAGTCCATAACAGCTGGGCAGGCAGGATGCTCCACTTCAAAGCATTTAAAGCCGTGTAGCTAAAATAACCTATAGAGGAGTTGTGGTAAAATGTGGATACCTGGGCTAGAAAACCTTTGTGTCACTTCTGTGTGTGCGGATTGAAAGGATCTCATTAGCTATGGGGTGTGTTCCCAAAAATCTGTCCATTCCACCTCTGGGCAATTATTGTGCCACAAGGAAAGAACAGCCCAGAGCTGGAGAAGGCTGCCTTTCAAGCTTCGGGGGAACAATTTACTAAAATAATCTATATAAGTACACAACTACTACTACTTTATTTTAACTGCTTTATTATGCTTACAATAATAAAATACCAATTCCTCCCCCATCACCACCAAAATAGATACATGGTGCTTTCTTGCCATGTGAATATATTTTTGAGAAGATAAACACTCTAGGATCCAATGTGTGTGTACACCTTTTGCCAGTACTGTGTGCATAATGTTTGCTTGGGAAATTTGCCATATTTTGTCTCACACTGATTTCAGGAGTTTGTATAGATACAAGAAATCTGCTCCATATACAAAGCCTTTAAATAGAATGCTGGGGAAACTATTCAAGCTGCGGAGTGAAGCCAAGTGAGGAGATGAGAGAATTTACTTCACATCCTCCTCTCCCACCCCACCCCCACACTGTTTCCCAAATCACAAATGACTTTTCCTTTGGGATACACAGGCCTGTGATGCTTGGAAAAAGGAAGCTGAGGAAGCTAATGATCGTGCCAACACGGCAACCATAGAATGTGAGCTAGCCCGGGAGCAGAGGGAGGCCTTGGAGCTGCAAGTGAAGAAACTCCAGGAGGAAGTGGAGAGGATCCACACTGGCCAGGACCCCCAGTTCCTGCGTTCGCTCTCTGATGTAGAGACCCTCTCCCTCTCCACACTCTATAATCTCCAAAAACAGCTGCGTGCCAACCTGGAAAGAGTTGATAAGGTAGGTCTGAGTGAGAAGTCTTGTCCCACAATTAACTTAGCTTCCTTTTTCGAATCCTTAATAAAAGCAGCAACTGTGAAGTTTGCATTTTTAATCTGTGGTACATTTTGAACCCCATAGACTTGGCAACCATGAAATGCCCCATTCTTTCTTGGATGAGGGGGTGCAGTTTTATACTAGAATGCTTTCAGCTAGCAGGCAAGGCTTATAACATGACAATAGGAAAGGGCATTTCCCTCTGGATCAGAGTATGGTATGTCTGGTACCTGGAAGCAAATCCCACATTGGGCTCCCATGTAATGACTTGGGCCTGTAGAATGTGCTGAAATGGCACACACAGACTCCCCATGTTTCCGGGTGGTTGAAGGAAAGGGATTTTATTTGGTAGTACGTAACTTGACACTGCCTTAAAAACATTTACAGCCCCATAGCATTGATCTTGGGGGTGGGGGGAGAGAGTCAAAATGTCATCTTGTTCCCCCCCCCAAAACCTATACTGCACAAGAGCTGCATATACACATTTCCCTGTGAGATGGGGGTGGGGTGGGTGGGATTGAATTCACTGCGGGAATGAACACAGACAATTTGGTGGGGGGCGGGGTCCTCTTGCCCACACATTCCATAGAGCTGCTTGCTAGGCAAGAGCAGTAACAGCTGTATCCTATGCATCTTGGGTCCTGGCTGCAGCCTAAGCCACTTCCTTCCTTCAGTGACCTAACAGAGCCAGCAGGCTGGAGGAGTCACTGCCAGGAGTTTGATCTATGCCAAGTTCATGACTGCCATCTATGTCATTTTGCATGCTGTCTGCTCAAAGGAACTCTCAGAACAGGTGACGGGAAGAGGAGAGAGGGATGTGGGGAGGTCAGGCATAGGAACAGGGAGGCGGTTGCAGAGAGAGAGGCAAAGGACTCCTCCGCCTCTTTTGTACTCCAGTTTCTTCCACCGCCCTCCTAAAAATGTCTGTGGGTTCTCCCTTGTCTACTCCTTGTGAATGTCTCTGACCCTTTAATGGCTGCCTCCTGAGTGTACCAGGGCTCTGTTCTGTTTTGCTGACAACCCCTTTGGTTTTGCCCCCCGTTTCTTTCTTTCCAGGCAGTGTTTCAGATGCAGTCGGTGAAATGCCTCAAGTGCCAGGAAGAGAACCGGGTGGTACTCCCGTGCCAACACACTGTGCTGTGTGAAACGTGTGCTGAGGAGGGCGAATGCCCCATCTGCCATCCCAACAGGCCACACACTCTCCAGTCGTGACCCTACTAGGACATTTGGTTTAGCATATCACACATAGAACTTTTTAACTTTATATATATATATATATATAAATATAATATGAATATATATATATGAATATATATATATATATACATACATAAAAACAAAAATTAGTTGCAGAGCACTTTTTAATACTTTGCATCTCCCATTTAAAGGTTCCCCCACCCACCCAGTCCTGCTAAGTCTAACTCCTTAGGGACTTTTATGGCTGTTTTTATGTAGATCAAAGGGCAGTTTGCAGAGTTTGTTTCCTCTCTCTCCCCTCCCCCTTTCCTATTTAGGATGTAACCCTTTTTTAGTCTTCTGAATAAAGATTTAGAGGGAAGGGGAAGAGGGGCTTGCAAGTGCTTTCCAGGGTGAGGACCGGATCTGTGGGGAGAAGAGACACGGAAATCAAATTTCTGATCATGTCTTCGTCCTCCTTCTCTTGGCTCTTACTTCATCATCATTTTCATCTTTTTAAAGCAGCTGTCATGCTCTTAGCTTAACAACAAGAGAATCCCCTTTGCAGTTCTTCCCCATTGAGAGCTTCAGGCATTCAGAACTCTTGTTGGCCTTCAGTATGGGTGAGGATCTTTGGATATCTGTTTGAAAAATAAGCATTCACTTTTTAAAAGTCTTTTTACACACTTGTAGGTTTCTACCAAAGCAACAAAAGGAGCAAAATTTCAAACAAACCAGTGATGGCAGGCCAGTAGTCACAATAGTTTTACTCAAAAGCATTACTTATCAGTGGAACTTCGTAAAGAGGAAAAGTCTGAGTTTGTGGTCTGTATTCTCTTGGCAATTAGGATGTGCTTCAGAGCTGTGGATAATGCAAATGGAAGGCATTCTAGGTGGCAGGTAGAGGTGGAAGTGTGAAATGATGAAGACCTGCTTTGGAAAAGCCTGTGTCTTTTCTGGTTGCTTGCTGGAGGTTGGGGTGGGGTATTCTTCCTAGGCTTTGTTTTCATTGATAATTAAATGGAGGTAGGTGGAACCTTTTAAACTTTTTTAGTCTGCCCAATACAGGCCTGCATAACTTGTGACCCACCAGTTAGGTAGGGTGGCCCTTTGGGACTAAATCAGTTTCCTGTTTTTGTCTGCCTGCCTGGGACCGCAGAAATGGGGTATTGGTCAAGTATCTGGCTAGAGGGTACAATGTTCAGTTGGTCTACATTTGGTCAGCTGATGCCATGTTACTCACCCCAAACCTAATACTTGGTACTTCCTGATGGGTAGAAACAATATGTCTCTTCCGCTGCTGTTCCCATACCACGAATGGTACTGTTACCAGCGTCGCGGTGTAACATATCCACCCTATAGTTCAGACAAGAGTTGGTTTTTTACTTTGAGTGTTAAGAAAAAATCATTCAGGTTTTTTAACAGAGCAAGCTCATCTGTTTGCCCTGGACAGCACTTTGTGTTGCTAGCATACAGTAAGATGTGGTGCACCACCATGAACTTGGGGAATGTAGAATGTGATAGAGGAGCGGAGGACATTTTCAGAAGTTAACACTGTGTGTTTCTATCTTGCTGCCAAAAATTTGGAGTTGCATACTGAATTGAAGCATGGATTTCCTTCAGATGTAATTTCTGCAAAGTAATAGCGGAGCTATTGTGAGGAAGAAATAATTTTAAATTCACAGCCATGGGACAAACACAGAATTTTGCAAATGTTCAGGGACCCCAATATGAAAATGTTTCCAGTGGCAAGAAATAGATTCACAAAATGCAGAACTGGGAGCAGGCAAACAGAGAATCCAAGATATTGGAATATCCTCTCTTGAAAGATTAGCTAGCTGCTTAGGTGTCAAGTGGAGTTACGTTCCTAATCCGCTTCACATTCTTCTGATTTATAGTGAATGCCACGAGGCCATACTTAAAGCGCTGTTCGTAGGCAAGAAAAGATGGGGTTGCCCAGTCCACAGTGTTTCACTTCTCAAATACATTCCTTTTCCTTCTGACTAGGGAAACCTTCTTACTCTTCTATCTTACTCCTCACTAGTTTAGGTTTCCGGTGAAGCTAGCCTGTCTTCTTTGCAGGAGGATATCGTTGGTTGTGATCCCTGTTTAGGTATAGACGATCTGGGGACACCCAAGGCTTTCTATAGTCTTAGGCTGCGTCTGGGATCAGTTGTGTTTGGTCCATTTGAATTGTGTGCAGTCGAATCTTTGTAGCCCAGAGGCTTGAGACCGGTCCCCAACAGATGGGAACATTCATCAGGCATGTATGTGATACACTATTTGCACAGCCCAGAGAGTAATTCTGGAGTTGGTGGGGGCCTGATCCTCCTGCCCTTCTGCTTTGACATTAAAAGCACCAAGCCAAAAATGAGAGACGCTCCCATGCAGACGTGCCCTTTCTACTGCTCTGCTCATTCTTACGAAAGATAGTCTAGTTGTTCCTTTGGGTTAGCATCTCTGTTAACTCTGGGTCACCTTAGTGTAGCTGCAAATGCCCTTATTTGGCTGGGTACCTGCAGTAGACAACTTCCATGAAGATGGAGAACATTTTCCCAAAACGGCCATAAAGCCTGAGTCTATAAATGCATTCCTCCTTAATATTGGGTGTGCACTTGCTAGAGAACTACTTAGACCAGAACCATTTGTCATGGACAGCATTGACTACTATTTATATTGCCCATCTCTTACTAGGCACAGTGCATCTAGCCTTGAGGGATACATTTCATAGGTTAGGCTTTTTATACAAATAGACAGAAATCTTTTTGGGTCCCAAGCAACCAGCAGCTGGATTATCGGAGCAATCATTAATTTAGTTCTTGTGCTTTTGTGGGCCAGAATGAATAAGGTTTCCAAGCTCTGAGCAGAACTTAACTACACCTATTAAAAAAGAAACTTACAGTGCAATCCTAGGCATGTTTACTCAGAAGTAAGCACCATTGAATGCAATGGGGTTTGCCCCCTAGTAAATGTGTTTAGGATTGCAGCCTCCACTAATAATTTCCATTGAGATTAAATTTGCACTCTTCCCAGAGTGCTTTACAAATGGTGTTAACTCACTGATTATGTGTTAACCTTTGATTATGTGTGGTAGGCTTCCAGGAATATATATTGGGGCCTAAATCCAACTGACTTTCATTGAAATTTGTGGTTTGGAATATTTTTTGTGTTAAGCTTGTATCCAGTAAATGTGTCGTCCTGCAGTTCCCGAGTGGTAGAACTCCCACTGCAGTTTGTTTTGACTTGTTCAGACATTGCAACAGCCTGTAGGCAACAAAAAGCAACGGTCCAGTCCAGAAGGACTCTAATCTGTCATTTTGAACTGGGGAGTTTGTTTAACATGTAAAAGTGTAATATTTAGATTTATAATCTCACTCCCTTGCTCACCAGTCTCTGCTTCATTTGCAGTAGTTGACCCACCTTTCCCCAACCTGGAAAAGCACTGGAAACTCTAAGTTATCATTCTTTTTCATAAGGGTAATCCAGCTACTCACTGTCAGGTTTTTCCTCTGGAGTATTTTCATATTTAATGCAAGTACATCATTAGATTTGCTTCCACAATTCCACCCTCCCATATTTGGGGGGCTAATATGCATTCCCAGATGATCTCAAAGTGCAGCTCTGTTTAGGATTTTTTTTTTTTTAATTAACTTTTATGTTTGGTAAAACTGCTTTTTTTCAATGTGTATATTGTACTAGTATCTGTTGTGTTTTTTTAAAAGAACACCTAATTGGCTTCTTTCTTTTCTTTTTTGTATGGAGAGACGCTGCTGGCTGACTCTTGTGGTTGTGTTCGTTTTTGGTTGTAGCCTTTGAATGTCTGTGCCATGGGGCTTACCTGGTCTCCAAGGCCAGCAAACATGCCTCAGTCTTAAGGAAAGCTTGTTTGTTTAAAATATGTGAACATTTTTAAAACATACACACACAAATTTAAATTATGGGGGAGTAATAATACTCTGCTGGAAATAAAATGTACTAAACTATTTTGGTAACTAACTTAAAGATCATAGGAAATAAACTCTTTGAATCGGGTCTACAGTGTTTATACAGAATTGCAGCCATTTTCAGGCTCTTTGGTGGTAACTGGTTTGTAACACTTAGTTTTGTAAACATTGTGTTTTATTGCTTCCTCTGCCTTTCTATGTGATTGTCCATAGTGAGACGATGATTTTGTGGGGGGCGATTTGTTTAGTCCTGAATTGCCACAGCTTTGTGTAACTCCAACAGAATCCTACAGAGGGTGTTAGATGTGTCACTGGTCTCCTCAAGCGTAACTTAGAGGTAGTTTCTTTGTCCTGTTTTTAAGGCCTGGCAACTCTATAGAATCTTGCTGGTTATCAGATTCCTCTTTCCCACTCCCCACAACACCCCCTAGGCAAATTGCTGTGCTGGTGCAATGCAGGGGAGAAATTATACCAGAGGCAAAAGCCTGTTTACATTTAGTGCCACAACCCAATCTGTCTGTTTTATTGTGAAGGACCAAAGAATCCAAAATGGGATTTAAAAAATAAATAAATCTCCCAACCCCACAAATTCCGGACTGCTCCCCATCCAATTATGCTTTTTCCTCTACCTCGTCTCTGTCAGTATAATGCATAGGCACGAGGACATAGCAGCAGGCTGGTTTTATCCACACCTGGGAATCGTAGAAGCCCACGCTTCTCTATCCCATTCTTTAGCTCTTTTAAGACGCACTTTTTTTAGAAAAAAGAAAGCCTAGATTTCTATGAATTTTAATATTGAAATGAAATACCTGAAATGTGAATGCGTTTGTTAGGTACCAAATGAAAAAGCAAAACCAATCTGTTTTGTAACTTTGGGTTAAGTTTCTGCATAGGAATTTTTTGTTTACCGGGATAGGGTGGGATGAACCATGAATGAGAGGAAATATGCATATTTTTGTTTAACCGAAAGCAAATCTTCATTGAGCTAGTAGTTGCTGATTTGAATAGTACCTGCTCAGCAATGGGGTGCTTTTTTAGGCCAACGGGATTATGTGATTGGGTTTTGCCTGATGCTAAAGCTATTATTTGGTGCTAGAGTAAATCATCCTAAATGGACAGCCCAAGGAGATGTGCTTGGATTATGAAAGTTCACACACTTCTGAGCAGAATGCCTCTTGTATTCCCTCTCTGGCCTCTATGCCAAGGCCTAATTGGGGGGGGGGGCGGGAATCATTCCAAAAGTTTGGGGAGGACCTCCTAATATAACTAATTTTACCAGCCAAGGGAATATTGTGGTTGCAAAAACCAGAGTATTCAAAAAGGCTGGTAGACTTACCTTGATTAGCAGCAGAGAACTATCAGGTAGCTGAATAATTAGTAGAGAAGTAAGTGTTAAGAATTAACCTGTATATGCTTCTTTTAAAACAATTGGCTTTGTGGGGCTGAGGAATTTCCACACATTCGGGCAGATGACCTAGTAATCCTACAGCTCAGAGGTGCTGGGCTACGCTTCTCTACTGCCCAACTTCAGCATAGGGGAAAACGGCACCTAACAATTTATTGTGGGGAATTGCCTATATGCAGCACACAGGGTCTGTGTTTGCACGTAACACTTAAGTGATGGCTCAGTGTTACAAGGCTAAGCTGCAGCCCTGCAGTCTCTGGTGCATTCACACAGAGGACTTTGCAAGCTTTCACTTCCATTTTAGACTAACCACAGATTCTTCTTGTGACATTTAAATCGGGATAAACTGCATTTAATCTTAACTACAGATAGTGAAAGCAACTTCAAACCATAGTTTATAAAGCTGCCTCTCTCCACCCCCATAACCATAGATACAATTAACCTCACTTTACGGTTTGGCTGTAATGTTCAAGCAGAAGGTTCCAGTTTCCTCCTCGTTGCAGTGCTGGAGGTGGCAAGCAGAGCATACATACCCAAGGTTTCCTTCAGCTTGTCCTTCTAATGCTAAACCATCACTTAGCATCACATGTAAACAGAGCCAGAGACCCCACACAGAATTCTTCACAGGAAAATTCCTTTTTCTTTTTAACTTTCCATAAGTCTCCAAGCTTAACCTGAGCCACTTCAAGGGCTGCACAGCTCAGACAAATGAAGAGAATTTCCTTCCTTAGCATGGAAGGACATAAAGGACTCAACAGTTTAGTGCTGTCCCACTAGACAGACAGGACTTTCCCATATTGGTTCCGTCCCCAAAAGGGAAAAGTATTTATTACCAGTCTGGGGGGGTGTCTCATTTTTTCCCTCCTTTTGATTCCCCTCCGGGATTATATCAGCCTTTAGAGCAATGCAACCAGAAAGTAGATGTTGCTGGCGAAAAGTATTATAAGTGAAGTATTCCTGCAAATTGGTGACTGTGGATCAAAAGATCTCTATGGGGCTTCCCCACTCTGTAGCTTCCAATGTTTGAAAGGAAAAAAAATATATAAATACATTCTATATAAATTCTTAAAATTACACACTACAGTATTTATGGTGGCAATTCTGAACCAGTCTCTCTCCTTGGATTTTCCTAGGCAGGGGAGGGTGGAGGGCGGCTGGGACAGAGAGCCGCTCAAGTCTGTGTAGAAGTCAGCCAAAAGGTAATAGGTGGTGTGTACAATGTGGTGTTTGATTCCATTATTATAGACTGTAATGCGGAACTGTGATTTCAGCTGTTGTTCTTTCTCGTATTCTGTATATATGTGTGTTTGGCTGTCCAGAAACCTGGTTTTAGACACTCTTTCTTGGCAAAGTGGATTTGCATGTGGAGCTTAAAAAAATGCAATCTTGTGTCACAATTTCCAAGGGCAGGATGGATTTTCTAGAAGACAATAAATTTTTTTATTTTTTTGCTAAGAAAAAAAAGGCAGCAGTTTTGTGTGTGCATATGTATGTGTGTTTTAGAGTGTATATGTGGTGTCCATGTGAGTTTTCTTAGTACCTTTGATCTCTACTTGAAAGCTAGAGAGGTTGGGGGGTGGGACCTGCCTAACATTCCACTAGGAAGGTCTCCTGTTCAAGCTCCATGAAGTGAATGGCAGGTATGTGAAGCAGCTGCACCATGGTAAACTGAACACGATCCCTTTGCTCTCATGGAACTTGTGCCGGAATGATTCTTTGTAGACTGTAGGCCAGGAATGCTGCACAATCACATCTTTTTTCACCTTCCATTTGGTTATATAGAAACAGTAGCCTTTACAGCCTAGAGGACTGCAAAGATAGAAGCCAATCAATTTACTGTATTTTATATACATATATCCCTCATACTGCTCAAGATACAATACAATTTCAGGGTTTTGTGAAAGATCCTTTAAGCTATAAAGACAGTGCTTAAAAGAAAGTCCATATTCTCAACCATGAAGTATCTCGGAATATCTCCCAACACACCACCTGCAACAGCATCTTGGATTCCATGGAAACAAAGTTCTAGATCTGGGGAGAATCTGCTTTTGAATGGGAACTTTTCCTCAGTTGGCTTTTTAAGGACCCAACTGGAAATGGGGAAAGCTTATCTCCTTACTTAGAACTCCTAACCCAGAGATCTCCATATACTCTTCTCACTTCAAAATTGGTGTGCAGCAGTGTCTTGCCTCCTCTTTCTCTCCATTAACATAAGAGAGAGAGAAACAAGGACATTTTGTAATTGGCCTCCCAAAATCTTGAATCCAGAATAAAGTGAGCGAATTTGAGAATTCTGGGTTTGGACCATGGGAAAAAAAATTGTGGGAATTTAATAATGCTAATCCAGCTATTTAATCAGCCTTAAGACCCACTGAAATCAGCAGGATATGTTATTATTGATTGAATTGAGACCCAGTGGTTGCTTAGCCCAAATTGCCCCATTGATTTCAGTGGAACGTTTTGCATGATTAACTTTGTCTGAACTAGTATGTAGCTATCTCATTTGTAGTGGTAGCCAACATGGTGCCCTCCAATTCCTATCGACCCCAATCAACATGACCAGTAGTCAGGGATGGTTCAGCAATCTCGGTAAGTCACCACATTGACACCCCCTAGCATAATGGTATCTGTGTTTGCTATCTGTCCAAGCTGTCTTGTTTTTGTAATTGTGTCTCCATAGTGATTCTATCCCATCCCCTGTCCTCGCTTACTAGTATTCTCCTTTGGCTGAGTAAACACAGCCCCAAAGCGTGAATGATTAGGAATAAGCAATGGATGCAGGCTGGAGAGAGATGGGACACACCGACAGCTTCTCAGTGCTAGAATGTAGGTTCTTTGGTCAATCACTGAACTAGAAAAGTAGTTCCCACAGGCAAGCCTTTCTGGATAAATAAAAATTCAACCAGACACTCAACTACTCTTAATTAGATGAGGCAGAAGGATCAATCCACATTTCATGAAATCACTACATAGAAGCTGCTGCAGCGGAGGCTAGCTAGCTAGTGGCTTATTTACTTGTAAGACCAGCAAATGCTGAGATCTACACATGTGTTAATTACTATGCACATGTGCTTTCTATGCCTTGTGTCTGTAACAGGGATGAAGAACCATTTTCAGTCTGAGGGCTGTCATTCCTTTCTAGGGGTGATGATAAACACTAAATAGAGGGTGAGGCAGCTTATATAAATTATACCTTTGCACTGTAAATTATTTTTACACACACTCCTCTCTGTGACCCTCTAGGTGTCACTGGAATACAACTCCCATCATCCCTGACTGCTGGCAATACAGCCAGGGACTAATGGGGAGTTAGAGTCAAGCAGAAGCTGATGGCCACAGGTTCCCCAACCCTGACGTAGAACAAGACGCTTTATATAGGTAGCACAAGCATGGCTTGTACAAGTTGAAGTCTTGCTTCCCTAACATTTTAAGAAGCATCTGGGGGTTAACCAAATAGCTAGAGAAGTGATCTTATAGGCACCATTTACTTTTGGTGACATAACTTCCCTAAGGCCTCTGCCTGAACTTAGTTGTCTTGGGATAAAATGACAGATCCTCTTTTGCATCAAGATTTGGTTGACGAGCAGGACTCCACAGGTAGAAAGAAGAGACTGTTATCACAGGAGGAGAAGGAGGTAAGTACTATGCCATGCCAAAGACCTGTGATGGGAGTGCCGCTACTTCATTTACTCATAAGTGTTCTGGAGGTCAAGTGTGGAAGATAACAATTTTGCAGGGAGGTGACAAGTGTGAGATGCCCCAAACTGGCCTTCCTACTACGTATTTCATAACCAACAGAATGGCATATGAAATCAAACGTAAATGTAAAATAGTGCACAATGAGGCAAAAAAATAACATCACATATATGCTGTTAGAATTCTAAACTGACCTGGGACTCAAACTTGCCGACATAATGGATGACACAATAAAAATGGCATTGCTGTGTAGGAATGAAGGCAGATTCCATGCTGCGCCCAGTTTGGAAATGGCCTGAAAATGGCCAATATAATAATGTCTTTCTTAAAACCAAGGGGCAACCACCTCTAGACTACTACATGCATGTTCTGGTCATGCCAACTCAACAAGGACATCACAAAGCTAGAAAAGAGGCAGAGAAGTGCAGTCAATATGATCAAGCAATGAAAACGCCTTCCCAATTAAGAAAGGATAAAGTGTTTGGGGTTATTAACATAAGGAAAGAAATGACATGGAGAAAATAGGATATCAAAGGGTGCAATGGGTAGAAGGTTAGAGTGAGCATTTCCTCCCCTTTCCCTTTCATACTGTACTGGAGCTCAGGTTACCCACTGAAACTGATAAAGGAATAGATTCACAACAGCCAACAGGACTTCCTACAGCTAGGCCTGGGCGATATATGAGGAGCAGAGCGCGATGTCAGTTCCACTGAGCGGTGAAACAGCCACCGCTCCTGAGTCCGTCTGCTATCAGCATCTGCTGGAGGGAGCCAAGAGTTCGTCCAGTGGGCGCTGCTTAGCAGAGGGACTCAGGAGCGGTGGTGGTTTCACCAGTGATATACTGCTGAGTGGAACCGCCATTGCACTCTGCCCTCATACAAGCTGTATTGGCGAGGCGCTGATACAGACTGTTCCTCCCTCTGCATCTTTAAACTGCTCGACTGAGGAGTTTATAGCTGCTCTTGCCTCAGCTGAGCAGTTAAAGGAGCCCCGATGCTCTGCCCATTCACCTGTGAGCGGCAGGAGCGCAGGGGCTGTCTCAGCTGGGGAGGGGAAAACCTGCCCGAGCCCCAGCTGAGCTGCACAAACAAGCTGTGTTGTCCCAGCCCATGAGTGTCTGGGTGAAACCGCATCAGTTCCCGAGGTGAGAACTGGGGCACTTTCACTAGGTGCCTCACAGGCAGAGGCCAATGCAGCTTGCTTTTTCAACATCTCGGTATATCACCACGATGTTTGGCTGGCGATGCAGCTCAATGTTGAAAAGCTGGTGTTGCCCAACCCTACCTACAGCACATGATTTATGGCGCTTGAGCCACAAAATGTGTTGACCCTTTGGTTGATGGTTCTAATGCAGGCCTAGTCAAATTTATGGAGGCCATGTTTAGCAGCAGCCACAGTAGTCATATGATGGCTAAACAAAACTCCCAGGTTCAGAAGTAATATACTGTCCTCTCAATTTTTTATTCATACAGTCACAAACCTGCACATTCTCCATGAAACAGGGATTTGGCGACACACACAAAAGGAAACCTGATTATCTGGGTTATCCAATTGCTGGTTCCACCCTGAGTAATTATTTTAAATGTTCCCAGTGACAAAAGTGAGAGCAGCCCATAGACTGGAATTGGGCACGAGTGTATCCACCACCACACCAACAACACTCCAATGCAGGGTGGATCCAATACAGGCCAATGAAGACTGAGCATGTTCCAGTGGGCTTGAAATGGTTTTAAAAGAGTGAATGGTTGGGGTGGGGCAGTCAGGGGAGGGAATGGAGTAACTGGAACACTGAACAGAAGTGCCACATTATGTTGTACTACCACACTTCTTAGTTACACTTCCATTTGCAGAATTGGAGTTGGAGGCAAACAGTAAGGGAGAGCTGTTGCTTTCACACCCTGCTATGGGCTGTGCAAAACATCTGGTTGGCCATTTTTGGTACCAGGATGCTTAGAGGAGGACACTCTTGCTTCGAATCAATGCAGGACTTATGCTACATCCCTTCCTCCTGCAACTACCCTAGCTGCCTCTGCAGAGGTTGCTTTCTACAGGCCTCTACAAAAGGAAATGAGATTACTTCATACTCCGTTTCCCTCCCTGCTGCCATTGCCACGGAATGCTACTGTCCCCTTCTTACACTATTCACCAATTTAAACTGGAACACATTATAGAATAAGTGGTGTATAGTATGCCAATAAGTCTCCTGAGGTACACTGGAGGAAAACACACCGTTTAGCTTTAAAAAATCTTGATTTTTTGGGGGGTGGGGTTAGTAGATAAGACATCCAGCAGCTGTGCTCTATATAGAGGATGCTCTTGGGTTTTCTCTCCTCTGCAAAGACTGTGTAGTAAGTGAAAGGCATTAAAGCACTACATATTTAAGATGCTCAAAAATGCCTCCACAAGAGCCTGTCCACTCAGCTCTCCCCTCAGGAATGTATGCACATACACACAGTTGTAAAAATAGGAAACGCTTTTGCTTGCTCAGAGCTCACCCCGCCCAAACTAAACGAGAGCCTGGCCTGGTTTCTTTCACAGCCTTTAGCCTTTAGCTGCTAATGTGACAGAAATAGCATGCCTTAGCCTCACATAATCCTTTAGTTGTCCTTTTCACTTACAGGAAAGGAATTCCTCTTGATGGGAGAGGAAACCAGCTGAGAACTACAGTCTACTGAGCAAATTTCCCCTTGCACAGAAACCTTGGCTAAATCTACCACCACCACACTGACAACGATCTGCTCCAGGCTTTAGGAAAACAGGAAGAGTTAAGTTGTAGAGCAGGAGTGGGGGTGGAACCTGTGGCTCTCCAGATGTCAGACTCCCAACTTGCAGCCAGCATGGCCAATGCTATGGATGATGGGAATTGGGGTCCAGGTTCCCCATCCTTACTATAAAGACCTGGCCTCACGGGCAGCGGAAACACCTGACTGCAAAGGAGTGGGGTGGGGAGAACAAGACGCAAATGTTCAGAAATTGAGGGAATGCTTCCTGCAGTGCTATGATCAAAGCTTACATTAGGCTGTCTCTAGATTTACCTGTAGGTCAGGGTTCACAGTAACACTTCACAAGCCTTTCTGCCGAAATGGAGGTGAAATTCTAACCGTGGTGGTGGTGACTGCAGTCTTATGCTCCCATCAATCCATCAAAGCCAAGCACAGCTTACAGGTATAAACAACAACAGCACTGTTCATAGAATATGCAGCTTTTCTTTTCAATTAAAGCCTCCCCTGCTTTAAATCGCAAGAGTTTCCACTCCCCAGCAACATCTGTGTCTTCTTTGTGATAATCAGAATTGTGCCCTGGAGATGAGGGCATAGAATCCATCACAGCGTACAGCCAGCGGCTCTTCCATTTAATTCCTTTTTAAGTCAGTGATGCTTAAATCAGAAGGAAGTGCCAGTTCCTGTAGCAGAGATTAGTGATCGCAGGTTTGGGGTGTTTTTGTTTTTTTTAACTCACCAAAAGCTGCTCTCCCACCCCCACCCCACCCTTTGGCTTTCTGGTGTACCAGGCTGCCTGCTTTCCATGCCATCTGGCGAACAGAGTAAAGCATTTCCTGGGGGAAATCCACAAGGGGCACATTACAAGCTTTGCCGGCCAAACAGGCTCTTTCTCAGTCCTCGTGTGCACGCATGCGTGCCAATTGTGCGCATGTGTTTGCTCACAGCATCCCTTAGCCTGCAGTATGAAAATCAAATAGTACCACGTTTTCCATTTTTCTTAAAATAAAATAAGGGAAGTCCTTACTGCAGATGAAGAACGGATGAATGGGGCTGGGAGTGGGTGACACAACCCTTTCCTGTCGCCTCTTGAATAGAAACAGGTCAAACATTCATCCAGGCACAGCTTGCTCTTCAGCATGCACTGACAAAAGAGCCCCAGGGTCTGCTATGGCCAGGCTAGAATGCCGCATGTCCCTCTGGCATCCAATGCACCAGCAGAAAAAGCTGGAGTGGAAGAAGGGCTTCCTGCTCTCCATGGTGTATTTGCTGTCGCCATGGCAGCACAGGCCCTGCCTGCTGCACCTTTTCAGCTCAGTCCCTTCTGTTGCAGCCCCTATTGTTGCTCCTGCTGTCGCTCAGTCTCCCTGGATTGCTTTGCTCGTTGTCTGCGGAGCTTCACAAATGCCTGGGCTTCCTTGTCTCCTTTGCGGGTCTCCAGCAGCTTCAAGATTTCAGCGCCTGGGGCAGAGTGGGAGAGGTGGCATGCAATCAGTGAGATGTGGAATCAAGTAGCCTGCTCCTATAACTAAACGTCTCTTGACGTTTAACACAAACGCAGTTTCCTGCAGACAGACATCACAAAAGCTAGGCAACAACTAAGACTTAAGCTTCTTCTAGGCCAAAGCCAAGAATCCGGGCCCCTCAAAAAGTTACCCATTGCATATATCTCAAAACATCCTAAAGCAAAGAAGCCCAGAGGTACCTGATGGAAAACTACAGGACATCACCAAGGGGTAACAAGCTAATGGATGCAGCTAATGGATACTATGCGAATGATGTGCGTGCCCCATGAAGAACAAGGCTAATTGAAAAACAGCTGTTTCCATTTCCTGTTCTAGCTCCAAGCACCTCTTGTAGCTCCCTTTAGTGAGTCAAAACGCTGTTCCCGATGGAGGTTGCTATGGAAGCAGCTTTCCAAGCAGTGAGGAAAAGGGAATCTTATTAAAAGGAGAATGGAGTTTGGGTGTGGTAGGTTGTGTTACTGTCCATAGCCTTTTGAGCTGCTGGAAGTAAAAGCAGGAGATCTCTGGTTAAGAGTCAACTGCTAATGCTGCTCCTATGATGCTCAGGTAAATCCAGCAGCAGTCCAGTGGGTGCAGTCCAGTGTCCCTAGGAAAGGGCAGTGTAGAAGCTACGGTGATAAAAAGGACAGCAACCTGCAATCTAAAAACAATCTCTTCACCTTGCCTCACTTTTGGAAAATGCCTCACATTGTGTATTTATTTATTTAGATGCCACTTGTATGCAAAAATGGCTTTGAAGCCGTTTACAAGTATAAAATCAATTATTAAATTAACAGATTATTAAAACACACAATAAAAACCATTCCAAAGCATTAAAAACATACACAATTAAACAAGCCAGTTAAAAAACATAACAATTTAAACAGTTTAAACAACAACAACAACAACCCACAACTTGAGGTTTTGTTCCGGGGATAGCGCCTGATAACTTGTGTATAGTCAAAACACATTGTGTGCAATGGCGGGGGGTGGGGCATTGCCAAAGTCTTTTTTAAACAAAAACAAACCTTTTTTTACCAAGAGCACAAAGCTGAATGATCACAAGTTAAATATATCTAAGTTGTGGGTTTACTGTATCAGAAAGTTCAAGTTCAGGGGAATGCTTGCCTAAATGGCTGCGTCATCATGAGCAGGGGGAATGCTGTTACTGAGGAAGCCTCTCCTACTGCAGCAGGGAAGGAATTTCTCAACACTGGTGCCGCTGGTGAAAGAGCCTGCCTCCACGCTACCCTCAAACCAATTATCATTCCATTTGCTATGGGCACACTTAGGGCTCATCCAGACTTCTGCTTTCCCCTCTGCATTCCCCTGGGGATACCTGATATTTTGTTCTCAATTGGAGCAAGCACCAATCTGGTGCTTTTTTCTGGATTGATGTTTGCTCCAATTTAAAGCTAAAGTGCACATTTTCCCCAGGAACAGAGTAGGGCAAATGGAAAACCACCTGTGCTTTCTAGCTACGGGACAAGCAGACATGTAGATGAGCCCTTAAAAGCACTTGGTCCTAAGTAAAGTTCCTGCTTGGCTTTTTCTGCCCTTTCTGCAGATATTTGCCCGTCAAGCATTACCCATTATCAGCCTGTTTGCCACAAAGCCCTAACTTTCCACCCATATTATACAAGGAGCCATCGTATGAAAATAAGCCATCCCTACACTCTCTCTATCTCTGAAATGAAGCAGTAGAACAGAAGCCACGCCTAGCTCTATGGCTCCATTAACAGATCAAAGCCAAGGTTCCAAAACCTTCATATGTATAGGTGCCTCCGGGGCCCGGCTCTCATACTAAGCCTGCTATGTTCCATAACATCCTAGGTTCCAAACTTAGAAGACAAGTTATGAAACCAGCCTTCTAGTTTTTAGTTAAATTGCTAATGCTAAAATGGCTGGAGGAATATTGACAATTCCCCCTATGCTCCCTGTGGGAAGGGACTGAAATGCAGGCAGCAGAACTCTTAATTCCCAGCACCACTACCCCACCTACACTACACATTTAAAACAGGATCATACCACTTTAAGAAGCCATGGTCTTCCTCAAAGAATCCTGGGAACTGTAGTTTGTTATGTGTGCCAAGAGTTGCTAAGAGACCCCTACTCCCCTCAGAAAGCTACCACTCCCAGAGTTCTCTGAGAAGAAGGATCAACGGTTCAACCACTCTGGAAATTGCAGCTCTCTGGGGGGAAATAGGTGTTCCATTAGAACTCCAAGCACCCTTAACAAACTACAGCTCCCATGATTCTTTGGGAGAAGCCATGACTGTATGGTCAGATGGGGCCCACAGGGGACAACAAAATCCTTCCCTTTGCTTGGTCAGCAGAGAAGCCTGGAAGACCCATCAGCTTGAATTTTTGTAAACTCTTTAAATTGGCTTCATTAGATTAGTAGTACATAACTGTGTTTGTGCAGATATAATTTGCCACCAACTCAACAACAAAAGACAGCATCTCTCGCCCCCCCACTGCAAACTCCCTGTTGAAGGAAGCCCCAGGATAGAGTTAGGGGGCACTTCACAGAATGTTAACTTAGCGCTACGCAGGATACAAGCCAAAATCACAGGACTAAAGTGCTGAGCATTTCAATATACAGCCTAGTACTTGGTCTGGAACAAAAGAACATTCCCCCCCCCACCTGTATTTTCTAAGGGTGTGTGCCTAGAAGCCCATGACCCCGCCCACTAAGAGGCTACAGGTTTAGCCGGCCAAAAAGGAGAAGGACAAGTGAAGCTGGGAATGTATAAGTAATGAGCTCACCAGCAGTTCCGGGATGTGTCAAGGACAATCGGGTCTGCGGCACCCTGGAAGGGTTGATGGCTTCCTCATCCTCACTCAGCCCCAACACCTTGCAGAGGGGGAAGAATGCTTCTCCCTCCAGATCATTGGCTCCTAAGGTGTCGTAGTCAAACACGGTGAGCAGCAGGCATGTCCCATCCTGCTGGCATTTTTTTGGAGGGACCAAACTGTAAAAGGAAATGAGCATGGGGACGGCCTGAGTTGAGTGACCCCGTTTTGCAAACCGAGGGGAAGAAGAACTCCCTCTGAGCAAAAAGTACCAGACGAATGATTCCTCTGTGTTTCAAACCATACCAACCAGTGGGAAAGCATGAACAGAAATAATTGGTGACACTCGTGGGCAGTAGTGGCTGGAGTCCAGAGGGACTGTTAGGGCAGAAGGCAGAACAGCCAACAGTAGGGGGAGACAGAGACAAGGACAGGCCAAGCTGACTTACCGTATTTTTCCGTTTATAAGGCGCCCCCATGTATAAGACACCCCCTATTTTTGAGGACTCAGTTTTAAGAAAATGGGGGGGGAGATGTATATGTGCATAAGACACCCCCTTATTTTTTAGGAAAAAAACCATCTTATACATGGAAAAATACGGTAATTTCAGCATTGTTCCCCCACCCACCTACCCACTGCGTTCTACAAGGGCAAAACTGAGGCTCAGGAGGAGGAAGCTGACGGCCAGGGCCTCCACTCCCTGGATTGGTTGTAAGTAAGGGCAAGTGGACGCTGGCTGAGGGGAGACTGAGCTTGGTGGGGCAGGACCCCACTTGCTGTAATGGACCAGCCTCCACCATCTCATGCCACTTATCAAGCTGTATCAACCATGGCAAGGGTTGAGCCATCTTAGCCCAGTGGTTCCACTGACCAACACATTGCTTGAATCCCACAATCACTTCCAGCGGTTTGAGACCCATGGGTGCTGCCTGGCTTTAAAAAAAACACCAACCCATGGCAAGGGTCTGCAGGGCAGGAGAGAAGGGTAGCTACTGGGTTGTTGTTTTTATTCTGTAGTTTTATATTTTTATTTTATTCCATGAATCGCCCTGAGATCTCTGGGCATAGGTGGGTATATAAATTCAATAAATAATAATAATACATACAATTCAAATACTTCATCAAAGAGAGGGTGGAGATTGTTCTTTATGCACTGGGTTGTCCGTGTCATAACCTCGGGGAACTCATGCCGTGGCTCCAGGGTCAGTTGGATGAAGGGGTCGCTTAAGCCTGGGGGTGAGGGGGATAGGAAGAAGAAGAAGAAGAGAGTAATCATTAGCAAACTGCAAGTCGGTCCTGGGGCATCTGTTCCTCTAACAAACCCCCAAGCATAAGTTGCATTCACTTGGCACCTGGTGGTGTCCTGCAATTTTAAGAGTCTTTATCTTAGTTCACCCCCCTCCCCCACCGTAGAATGTTTGCTAGTACTTTCTTCTGATAAATTGTGAACGGAAGCCAAGTATTATTGACCCATCAAAGACCTTCTAGCAAGCAAGCCCCCTACGGCTGCTGAGATTTAAGTTTCAGCCTTCTGGGTTGAAAGAGAGACTGCTTTTTTACTAAGTCAGTGCATTGGGTCTATCTATGGTGCTGGAGGAGACTCTTGAGAGTCCCATGGACTGCAAGAAGATCAAACCTATCCATTCTGAAGGAAATCAGCCCTGAGTGCTCACTGGAAGGACAGATCGTGAAGCTGAGGCTCCAATACTTTGGCCACCTCATGAGAAGAGAAGACTCCCTGGAAAAGACCCTGATGTTGGGAAAGATGGAGGGCACAAGGAGAAGGGGACGACAGAGGACGAGGTGGTTGGACAGTGTTCTCGAAGCTACCAGCATGAGTTTGACCAAACTGCGGGAGGCAGTGGAAGACAGGAGTGCCTGGCGTGCTCTGCTCCATGGGGTCACGAAGAGTCGGACACGACTAAACGACTAAAGAACAACAACAAGCCCAATGCTGTGGAGTCTGATGGGGCAGTGGTGGCTCTCCAACTTAGCATCTTTCCTAGCCTGCTACTTGAAATATTTTTAAGCTGTCTGAAGGTACCAGAGATTCAACCTGGGATCTTCTGCATAAAAGACTTAGTCTCTGCCACTAGGCAAAGGGCACCTTCCTGATGCAGCAACTCTCTGGAGCAGGACCATCCATTTTTTCCCTTGGCTCAGTTTAACTAAAATCTTTATTTACCCATTCCAGGTCCCAAGCATGCAGAGCTCACACTGTGTTCTTAAAAGAGCCAAGTGTGTAAACGCTCAATGTTCTCCGCTGTGATTTTTGCACAGAGTCAAGAGCACTTAAGTGAGACAACAACCACCTCTTCTGGAAATGTGAATGAACTGCAATGTAGTTCCTACAGACTGCTCAGCCCCTTCTCCCTTCAGATATTAAAGCTGTATTTATCCATACTACCAGCAATTGCAATTGCCTTTCAGATTTGAAGGGGACTCTCAGATGGGATCAGCTCACACATGATGGTGTTTCCTGCTTGGCAGGGGGTTGGACTCGATGGCCCTTGTGGTCTATTCCAACTCTATGATTCTGATTCTATGAATGTTTTCTGCAACATCTATACTCTATCGTTGGCATCAAAACACCAACCTGTATTTTTCAATTTTCTAGTGTGGCATTCTGTTCTCACAGTGGCTGAACAGTTGCCCATGGGAACATGAGCGCAAGAGCACTCTCCCCTCCCGTGGTTTCCAGCAACTGCTATTCAGAAGCCTTGCTGCCTCCAATGGTGCCTTTGTGACCACATTTTCTCTAAACTTAAAACTCCCAAATGTTGCAACTTAGCTTCATAAGAGAAGTGAATCACTCTCCCTTACTATCGATTGACCATTTCTGAACTTTTTCCAACTCCTTTTTGAGAAGAGGCAGCCAGAACCGTACACAGCATTCCAGATTCACGCGCCTGCACAAATAAGGAGAATGAGACACGTTCCTTTGGCTCGAGGGCTCTCACCATTGGAGTCCAGGGGAAGGAGGTTGACAGCGTTGAGCACCTCGACGCGCAGCTTTTGTTCCGAGTGGCGGTAAAGGGCCTTGATGGTCACAGCCCCGTATTTTTCAGGGCTAGCCTCTGTCTAAGAAATAAGAACAACCAGAGAAGTCAGGATGCAATTCAAATGCCCCAGTTTGCTTGCCAGCAATTAATGGTCCTGGTCTCCCTATACCATAGTAGTAAAGGGTGATAAACATCACTTCAAGTTCCATCTGGTAAATTAGGGATGGGGAATCCGTGGCCCCTACAGATGTTTTTGGAGTGTGACCCATCAGCCCCAGACAGCATGGCCAATAACCAGGTAGGATGGGATATGTGATCTAATAAGAACTGTTGGGCCACAAAATGTAACAGCCTGCTAGATCAAGCTATTGCCCCATCTAGGCCAGGGGCCAATCAGGGGTCGATGAGAAGCCCACAAGTTGGACCTGAGCACAACAACTCCCTCCCCTCCTCCTCTTTCAAGCCACTAGTATTCAGAGGTGTACTGCCTCCAACAGTATGAGCAGAACATAACCTAACTCTCCGTTAATTTGCCTATAAGACCACAGGTCTCACATCCCTGCTGTAAATCAGCAGTGATGATCTTAGCCACAAATAACGTAAGAAAATAAGATGTAACAATATCGTTCAGCACAAGGAAGAACGAACAAGGAGATGCAGTCTTCTTCGTAAACAGGAGCCAGAGACCACTGAAGTCACACACCTGCTGCTGGATTCGGGCGCTGAAGTACTTCTGGATAAGTTTTCTGCTGGTGGAAGAGCAAAGGTCCAGTTCTTCTTCCAGAGCCTAGGAGACAAGTAGGTTTGAGCAGAAATTGTACTAGTATTAAGCAATTGTTTAAAAAACAAACCCCCCCCCCCAATTGACAGATTAAAAAGGTAAAGGTACCCCTGCCCGTACGGGCCAGTCTTGACAGACTCTGGGGTTGTACGCTCATCTCACTCTATAGGCCGGGAGCCAGCGCTGTCCGCAGACACTTCCGGGTCACGTGGCCAGCGTGACGAAGCTGCTCTGGTAAGCCAGAGCCGCACACGGAAACGCCGTTTACCTTCCCGCTAGTAAGCGGCCCCTATTTATCTACTTGCACCTGGTGGTGCTTTCGAACTGCTAGGTTGGCAGGCGCTGGGACCGAGCAACGGGAGCGCACCCCGCCGCGGGGATTCGAACCGCCGACCATGTGATCGGCAAGTCCTAGGCACTGAGGTTTTACCCACAGCACCACCCGCGTCCCACTAATTGACAGATTATGCAAGACAAATTACATTTGGAACAGGTAATCCAAGCAGCAAGTAAGACGGGAGGCCCACTTGTTCTAAGGACCCCATCATTGGTGATCAGCAAGACCACCATTCTTAGGTGATGTTTCGTGCGTGCCTAGGCTGGATCTATATCGGTTTTTTAAAAAGTGCTATAGAAAAACACGTTATAAAAGCTCTTAATGGAAAATCCCATTGCTCTACAGCGCCATCTGGTGTCACACAATCATAATGATATAATTGACGAGTGTAGCTGAGTCCCTAGGTTGATTGGCCTGTTCGTGGTGGAGGGATCCCTCGCCCCACTCCCAATGCTCCAGAGAGCCCAATTGGGCTTGTAGCATCTTACTGTAAATGTTGCATTGTGGAGGGTGTCCTCTGGCAGACCACAGCCCTCTCCATGAAAACACCGCTCCAAGTTCTATGGAATGAAAGGGGTGAGGGTGGGGAGAAGAAGAAAAAGGAAAAAGAGTGAATGCTCCATTGTTAAAGCCCAGCAAAGAAAGTCAGATGCTCCACCCTACATTCTGTTCCACATGTCTAAGTACCTTGAGGGCACACTGCAATTTCTTGAAGTATGCCAAGTTGCCAAGTTGCTGTTTTGCAGCCTCTTTCAGCATGTCCAGAGTGTGATTCCACAGCAGCTCCAAGAGGCTGTTTGGAGGGGAGAGAAAGCAGAGATAGAAACTACGGTAGGTTGCCATTGGATACCAGCAGAATCCATTAGACTCTGGGATGATAATAATAATAATAATAATAATAAATAATGAAAATAATTTTATGTATACCCCGCCCTCCCCAGCCAGAGCCGGGCTCAGGGTGGCTAACACCAGTAAAAATTACAGTAAAAACATAATGGGGGGGGGAACCAAATTAAAATACAGGTTAAAATGCCATTTAAAATGCAGCCTCATTTTAAAAGTAGCCCATAGATCAAAACCATAAGAGGAGGGAAACATAAGGGTCAGACTGAGTTCAAACCAAAGGCCAGGCGGAACAGCTCTGTCTTGCAGGCCCTGTGGAAAAATGTCAAGTCCCGCAGGGCCCTTGTCTCTTGTGACAGAGCGTTCCACCAAGCCAGGGCCAGTACTGAAAAGGCCCTGGCCCTAGTTGAGACCAATCTAACCACCTTGTGACTTGGGACCTCCAAAATGTTGTCATTTGTGGACCTTAATGTCCTCTGCAGGGCATGCCAGGAGAGGCGGTCCCGTAGAAAGAAAAAGAAAGAAAGCAAGCCAGGGGCATCTTACTAACTCCCTTATTCCCAGAGGTTTCATTTATCAACTTCCAACTAGATTCTGTGGGGGAATGAGGTGGAACTATGGGTGAAGGGGGGATTTATTTTTTTAAAAAGCACAACATAGGCAGTCCTAGACCCAGAAATAAATTAGCAAAATAAAGTTTTAACATAGCATTGGAGAGTCCCACTAGCATTCAAAGGAGCTCCAATATTTCATTTTATTTACATAAGAATATTTATGCACCTCTTTTTAACCACAATGGTTTCCAAAAACAGTTCAGAAGAACAAGACATTTGGGAGGCCTCTAAAGACCCTGTGTCTGATTGATCCCTTCTCAAACACCTTGCTGATTTGCTAGGGATTCAACACTGGGGCCCAAGGAAGTCGAAATAAAGAAAGAATGGAATGCCTCTGGGCATGTGCAGAATGACCAGCCCCCCCTCCAATAGCAGTAACTAGTAAATCTGCATTTGGAGAGCTTCAAAACCCAGCAGGGAAACACTGGGATTGTGTGTTCTTAATGTAGAAACTAAGCAGTGGATCTCCTTGTCTACGGACCCTGGCATGCTGCTGTGGTTCACCCATGTATTATTCACACTGACACCATGGCAAATCTTCTGAACTTCTGGCACCCTGGGCCATTTACCTGTCAGATGCCCCTCACTCATCTCCCAGTAGCATTAAGCTCCCCTGTCTTCCTTCAGCCTTTGCTATTTCCAAGGAGTTGCAGAATTTCTGGGAGGGAGAAGATCCTTCTTCTGGAGAACATAGGGCCACAGACTACTATAACTGCTACTATAAAATGATGATGGGGGGAAAAGATCCTAACAATGTCAGGCTTCTGGCTCACCTGTTGAAGTTCTCTTGGACCAGGTTCCCACTTAGATACTGGAGCTCACATTCCAAAAATAGCATTAAAGGGGTGATGCACTAGAGCGGCAGGGAGAAAAAGTTTAGAGAAAACAGAGAGAAAGGGAAGAGCACTGTAGAGTGTATATCGAACATTTCAGAGGCCTCCATACAAGGTATGTGAAAATGCCTTCCTCTGGTGCTGCTCAAAATGGCCAGCATAACATTTCAAAGGCTTTTACCTAATGTGCTATATTTTTGTTATATACAAAAATAATGACTTTAGATAGTCCTGGAAGATGTTAAAAAAATAAAATATCAACATCTCTTAGCTCTGTGGAGGAGTTATCAAAGCTAATTCTATATTGTTATTAGTAATAGTAGTAACACAATAGTAGTGACAATAAAGTGACAGTAGTAACAGCTGTGGAACAAGGTGGTTGTCGCCATGATTGCTTGCTTTTTTTTTGACATGAACTTACATACTCTCATTCATCTCAGTAAGTTCAGAAATGACTCAAGCCGCCCCATTGCCACCTTCCTTTGTGGCTCCTGAACACCTCCTTGAACCTCCTCTACAGAGATCTAACATATTGCTCCAAAGCCAAACTATTTGCTGGGAAGTCAAACAGCCCTAAGCTCCAGAAGGCAGAGATATTACAGTTCAAGACTGAGAGTTAAAACCAGGGGCATTACTAGTACATTACTAGTTTTGGTTGTGGTTTCTTTTGAATGTAGGACTAGCTAAGGCAGCATACGAGACATGGATAGGGCAAAAGAGACTCGTTTAGCGCAACAGCATGTAGCCTAGAAAAAATGGTTTGTTCCGGCATTCCAATACTCACATCTTCTGGGTCCCTGGAAGCGCTGCAGGTGTACAGCTCCTGGATGTGCCTGGCAATTCCAGCATGCAGCTGTCAAAATAAAAACACATGTGCTTACTACTACATGAGGAAAAATGTTTTGTAAGTGCTCAAAGCAGTTCACATACATTATCTTAGTAATCACTGCATTAGTCAGGTATGGAAGACTGCCATTACATTCCGATATAACATACTTTTTCTACAGTGGAGGAAGAGATGAGGAAGAGCAGCAAGCAGAGAATGGGGACCAAGAACAGCAGCAGCAGCAGCCACTGAGCACCCTTCTTCAACCTCAATCTTGGAACCACCTCTGCCAACGGTGTGTCTATTTGCTAGCTTTTACAACATTTCTGCTGCTTTAGACAAGGAACTACCGGGGGCACTGAAGGCAAAACTCACTGGCAAAGCATTTGCTTTGCATGAATAAAAAGTCCAGGTGGGAAATGCTGGATAGCTGCTGCTAGTTAATGTAAACAATCTTGAACAAGATAGGTTCTTTGGTCTGAGTCTCGTATAAAGGCACCTTCCCATGAAGGTTCCCCCCTCTCCTCTTCTGCTCTGGCTTCTGAAATTTCACACAGAGCAGTGTGTGAAATTTTCATAAGAATTTTTAAAACAAATGTTACTGTTTTCATACAAATCTTGGGTTACTTGAGATGCTGAATTGTATGGCCCCTACAAAATCCTGCATGCTCAGTATGGCTCTTGTACAGAAATGCAGAATGCACATAGCTTTATCTTAGGGAGCCATAACCACGGGTTGTAAAACACGGACTGTCTCGTGTTGTCCCCATTCTGCCATTTCCAACCATGCCCCTCCCAGACCCTTCCCTGCCAGATTGAGCTTATCAAGAGCAAAGCCAAGGCTGCCGGGTTACTTTGCTTGCCAGGGTCTGCACCACGCCACGGATCTCGTTGTTGAGGCAAGTGACGGTAGCCTGAAGCTGGTGGTGCAAGGTGTGCTGGATCTGCTCTGGCGCAATGACCGCTCCCGTCTTCTGCTCCAGGCGCGCCCAGTCCAGCTGGGATGGCAGCTTCAGGATCATCATGCGGAGCTGCTCGATGTTGTTCACCACAACGCAGAGCTGGCGGGGGGAGAAATAAAGCAAGAAACCGATGCATTCCACCTGCCTGTGAAGCAGCATGGCAGAATTCTGTAGCCTCAAGAGTTGGCAGGTGTTATGTCCTGAATAGGATTCAGAATACAGCAGTCTGATTGGTCCTAGAACACTAGGATCCAAAATGCAGCAGTCTGATTGGTCCTAGAACAATAGGATTCAGAATGCAGCAGTCTGATTGGTCCTAGAACAATAGGATCCAAAATGCAGCAGTCTGATTGGTCCTAGAACAATAGGATCCAAAATGCAGCAGTCTGATTGGTCCTCAGGAGCCACCCAATCCAACTCCAGGTGGAAGTGAATCCACAACCTGATTGGCCTACAGGAGAATCCCAGAATTAGCCAATCACGTGGGCCCATTGTGTAACTAATGTATATAAAGCAGACATTTCGGGGGAACTGACATTCCTCACTACTATGAGCTGAATAAAGAGCACACTCGACTCCGAGTATATTTCAGCGGGACTTCTCCACCTCCCAAAAGCCTACTTGAACAACGCCCTTTGTCAGAAACTGGCTCCATCGCTCACCCTGTTTGCCGCTTCTCCCTCTTTGTGTTTCTTTGATGACAACTCCTCTGCCCTTGTCTTGATCAGTCGGCAGTACATCAGAGCAATTTTACATATGTCCTAAGAAGTCAAAAAAGGAAGAAGCTTGAGGATGTTGTGCTCAATGGAGGTAAAGAATCCCAATGCGTCAGTTCACCACTTGGATTTCACTGCTTCCTACAAGGATGTGGGAAGGTGTAGGCAGAGGCGATTCCTTCATCAGACAATAAGAGCATCGAAAGAATGAAATACATCTGGTCTGGGGGGTAATTCGGGTCATTAGGGATCAAAGGGGTGGCAAGCGGGCAAGAAATATACAGTGGTACCTCAGGTTACAGATGCTTCAGGTTACAGACTCTGCTAACCCAGAAATAGTACCACGGGTTAAGAACTTTGCTTCAGGATGAGACCAGAAATCGTGCAGCAGCAGCAGGAGGCCCCATTAGCTAAAGTGGTGCTTCAGGTTAAGAACAGTTTCAGGTTAAGAACGGACCTCCAGAACAAATTAAGTTCTTAACCCGAGGTACCACTGTATTTAAGAAATAATAATAATTTACAAACAAATATTCCAATCATCTATCCCAAATTAAGGTGGGTTATTTTTTTCCATTGGAATGATGTATTACTTCTTTTCTGAAGTACTACTTCTCAGAGTATAATGAAAGAGAAAGTGTAAAAAACTGTGAGACCAGGTGCAAGCGCAAAGCATTGGGCTTTTTTGTTGTTTCAGCTGCTCTTGACCTGCTTGATTGTTTTTGGGTCTCATTGTTTATGGCTCTTTGGGGACTATAGGTTCTCAGCTGGCATCCTCGTTTCCAGCATCCTAAAAGTTTCAAGTGCCAGATTCATGTACAAAGTCATTTACAGTAGGGTGGATCTTCCCCAACATTCGTAGGATTTGTTTCTGTGCATCACACTGGATCTCAGTGTTATTAAATTGGAACATCTGGCTCTATACTACACCTCCAGGGCTAATGTGAAGATCCATCAGCTCTTGCACTTCCTAAATGTTATGACACAGTTCTCCAATCGAAAAGCTGTATCAAAATATATTTAGAAGTAAGTGCAGTATACTGGAAAACAATGCATTTTAAAATTTTGAAATATATATTTTTTTAAAAAAATACATGGGTATTTAAATGCTACTTTTGTATGGATTTCTGCACAAATTCACAATTAACATGGAAACAAGAGTGAAAAGACTTATGAGTGGATCACAGATGAAAGTGAAACATAGCCCATCCCTACTGTATACGCACCTCAACAAATTTCACCATGATCATGAAGGCCTCTTCAGGATCTGGCCAGTCCAGCTGCTGCCAGGTCTTTACCATCTGAGCATAGCAAGTTGATAAGTCCACCGTGGATGTGCTGTGCTTATTCAGCTCTCCTAGTGGTGTCAGCTGAAGAGAAACAAAAGAAGGTAAACGGGCATAAATAATCAAGTGCAGATTTGTTGAGTGCTTCATTTAATTTGGAGCCTGAATCTCTAGAACAAAAGGGGATTTTCACACCTGGCTGGCTGTTCCTCCGATCACTTAATTTAGAATGCTCCACTTACTTCAGTGATGTTGGTCCAGTGGAAGTAGCTATTAGGACTTACAGTGGTGCCCCAGAAGACGAATGCCTCGCAAGACAGAAAACCCGCTAGACGAAAGGGTTTTCCGTTTTGGAGGTGCTTCGCAAAACGAATTTCCTATGGGCTTGCTTCGCAAGACGAAAATGTCTTGCGAGTTTTTGCAGGGTTTTTTCCCTCCCCCCCCCTTTTTCCCAAGCCGCTAAGCTGCTTATCAGCTGATCCGCTAAGCCGCTAAACAGCTGATCCGCTAAGCAGCTAAGCTGCTTATCAGCTGATCCGCTAAGCCGCTTATCAGCTGATCCGCTAAGCCCGCTAAGCCGCTAATAGTGCTCATCCGCTAAGCCACTAATGGGCTTGCTTCGCAAGACGAAAAAACCGCAAGACGAAGAGACTCGCGGAATGGATTCTTTTCGTCTTGCGAGGCACCACTGTACTTAAATGCACTGCTTTTTTTCTGTGGGGGGGACAGCGCAGGGGTATGCATACCCCTAAACATTTTGTGTGTATAAGTTTGGCCTCATTGAGAGGTAGTATTTCAATATGAGAGGGAAAATTAGAGTACCTCTCTCATTTTTTTAAGAAAAAAAGCACTGCTTAAATGTGTCTTCAACCTAATAGTGATGATGATGATTTTGCATACATTGTTCCTTTTGGGATTTAATCCCGCTTTGCATCTCACCAGAACGGTCACCTATTGGCAAAAGTCACCTGTTAATGCAGGAGCCTCTTTATGTGAATGCCATAAGGCTGAAAGCAATAAGAATTGACCCTTCCGTGGATGGGGATCCATTCATTACCTGGTCTACCTGGATAGCTCTCTGAGTCCTTTCTAAGGCTATGGTGTATGCCTTCTGAAGCCACTTGGGGATGGCTTCCTTGAACCACTGGTGGTAGTTTGTCAGTTCAAGCTGACCTTCCCTGGAAAGAAAAGATACAAAACCAGAACCTACTTAACCTGGGAGATTCAATAACTGAGACTAAGTCATGTAACTTGTGCTAAATTTCTGCCTGAATTTGCTCCACGGATTAGTCATCCTGGTCAGGGGCAACAATAGCAAGGCTGTCCCAACAGGCCCTTCCTTGTGCATTTTTGCACACCACTCCCAATCTCCAAGCAGTGCAGGATTCCAGGGGTTCCAAGGTTCATGTTTCCTTCTGAAACCATACTGGACCCTGCATAGCTTTGCAAATGTACTGGCAGCTTTATTGCTGCAGTACTATCATGTTAATGAGGCACAGCGGAGACTGGTGTCTTTATGATCTATGGTTTATTTGCACATATATACAACCCGAGCATATGATGGAGGGGTTTGCAGCATTAATGCCCCAAAAGGATCTTGTTTCTCCCAATAGCTACAAGCCTTGGATTCAAACAGAAATCAAACACTGCTCTCAGGGTGCTGCTCTAACTCCCTCTCCGGCTTTTTGCTTTACTTCTAGGTTACATCACTGCCACTTTCAACTCTAAACTCAGGCTTTGTCCTTCTAACTATCTCTGAGTTGAGGGAGGGGCCCCACACATTTACTATTTTGCTATCTCCCATAGACCCCCCTTTCCTTTGTTTCCTTTAATGGCCCATCACCCAGGCAATCACTTCAATACAGAGTAAGATAAGGTAAAGGTAAAGGGACCCCTGACCATTAGGTCCAGTTGTGACTGACTCTGGGGTTGCGGTGCTCATCTCGATTTATTGGCTGAGGGAGCCGGCGTACAGCTTCCGGGTTATGTGGCCAGCATGACTAAGCCGCTTCTGGCGAACCAGAGCAGCGCACGGAAACGCCATTTACCTTCCCGCCAGAGTGGTACCTATTGGCTATTGACGTGCTTTCGAACTGCTAGGTTGGCAGGAGCAGGGACCGAGCAACGGGAGCTCACCCCGTTGCAGGGATTCGAACCGCCAACCTTCTAATCGGCAAGTCCTAGGCTCTGTGGTTTAACCCACACAGTAAGATAGCCTGGCTTATTTTTTAAAAAACACTTGCTGGATTCAGGGGTTGGGACGACCTCACATGCAGCCTGCTCCCGCCCCCAAACTCATAACACTATAAGCACACAAGAATGCACATGCGCGCGCGCGCACACACACACACACACAGAGAAATGGCCACACACTAGTGAAATGGATAAGGAGCCTCCATGTGGTGGCCATAAGAACAGACCCAAGGCTGAAAGCAAAAGCTTTGACCTTCAAAGAGGTCAGCACCTGTTGCACACAAGGTCCTTCATGCGATATAGTTCCTGCAGGCTGAGATAGAGCTGGAAAAGACTCTCTGCTGTGAGCTGGGACATGCCACTGTCAATCTTTCTCAGCTGCTCCTTGACATAATGGGAAACCTAGAATGGCAACAAAAACTAGAGTGAGCCAATGAGAACCAGTGAACATGCAGCAGGCCCTGCAATCCAGAGGGCAAACAGCCATTCCTATTGACTCAGGGAAGACTCATTTGATAAGCGGTGCTTTGGGTAGCCTTTGAAAACTATTATTTTAAAAATTCAGCTGGCCTACAACACAACTGGTCAGATACTGGAAAATCCCAGCCCTAAGGAGCACGGTCAGGACCAAGCTTCCTCAAACTCGGCCCTCCAGATGTTTCTGGCTTACAACTCCCATGGTCCCTAGCTAGCAGGACAAGTGGTCAGGGATGATGGGAATTGTAGTCTCAAAACATCTGGAGGGCCGAGGTTGAGGAAGCCTGGTCAGGACTGTCACAATTTGCATCCTGCACAGATGCAAGCCCTGCATGGTTTGCTATTATTGTAGCTATTGCTCCTCCACCACCCATCACCTGCCTGGGAATTAAGGCTGTCACTGCCAGGTAAGTGAGGGTGGCAAGGGCGGAGTCATACTGGGGCTTGTGTTTCTCTCCCCACATTTTCCAACCTCTAAGATGCAGAAAATTGGATCCGTAATGGCTAGGGTTCTCAGTCTACAAAGAGGATGTATGTATGCCTTATTTTTTAATTGATGCCATTGTCCCAAACATGCAAAGGGCTTTTTCATAGGCTAACCAGGACACTCCACCCAAAGCCCTGAACCTTCAATAGGCACATGAAGTGAAAGGATAACCACAGAGCATTTCCACCTAGAGAAGAACCTGAAGGATTGTACACATTTGTGGCATATTAATCCTGAATGGATCTGCCACGTGACCTGTCACAGGGCTTATTTGCAAAAAAAAGGGTTTACATTAAAAAAAAAACACCCTGCCAAAAAAAACACCCCACCCCATTTTGAATCCGTGTGTAATGACTGATGGTGTAAGCATGTTCCCGGAGCATCTACAACATCAAAACACTCAAGAGAAGCTATGCCCAGAAACTCACACCAAAAACAAGCAAGGTCTCTTAGCACCTGAGGTGGACTGCATGTATTCACAGGGATGGTTGGCACACACACTGATTCAAAGCCAAGATGAAATGGACCTGTGAACCAGTCCTGAGATGAAACATGAACATAGCTGGTTCAGGGCAAGTGAAGCTTCATCGCGAATAAGACTCAGGTGAATCTCACCACCCACTGCAACTAGCAGACAAAGCCCAGAGTTCTTGCTTATGACAAAAAATAAAAATAAAAATTGAGGCAGCCACTGCTTCATCCTTTCCCCAGTCTCTTCCACCACTGCTGTGGCACATAAAAGAACTGGAGTCCTCTTTGCAACTGACCCACAAAGCAGCTACTCACCTGCGCCTGCATTTCGAGATACGCAATTGAGAAGAGGTCCACTCTGACAGTGCTACACAGGAGGAGGAGGAGGAGGAAGAAACAGGTGGTCAGAAATGTGCCAAGACACTGTATTACTGAATCCTTTCAGGCCTGGTAATAAGGAACCTGCAGCTAGAGGCCCAGAGCCAGATCCAGCTCCTTTCAGTACCAATCAAGCTGGACCCCCAGAACTGTCAACCAAAAGGCAAGCATGTTACACAGAGTAATTCATAGTTGTCATGCTGGGACTTGCCAACAGTTGCTGCAAACTGGGTTCTTGTGCTCGGTGGTCCTGCTTGTGTGTACAGGCATCTGCTCGGCTGCTGTGAAAACGGGATGCTGGACTTTATGGGGCATGGGCCTGATCCAGCAGGCTCTTCTTAAGTTCCTATGTCCATTTTGAGGAAGGATAAGGAGAGACCCTGGTCCTCTACGACCCTGCCCTCAAAAGTGTCCAAAAACAGTAGCTAAAAATGTCAGAAATATCCAAGGAACTGCAGATGTGAGAGATTTAAACAACATCAAAAGATTAAATTTCTAGGCCGGGGAGTGGTACAAAATAAGTCAATTTGAATGCCTAACCAGATTTAAATTTGACGTTAAATTTTTTCTTTCTGACTTCATGATAACAAGTAAGGCGATACATGCATACATAAAGTGTGTGTGTGTGTGTGTGTGTGTGTGTGTGTGTGTGTAATATTTAAAATAAACAATAGTTAATTCTCCTGGGAAGAATGGGCAACTATAACACTGGGGTAAGATTCTGCTATGCTTGGTCTCAACCGCTTGGACCTTCTGTTGCTGAATAAAGATTTTGGGACATATTTCTTGAGCGGAGAGACCGAACAGGGGACAGAAAAATGTCTTCCAGAGACTTACTTGGTGAAATATTTGTTATAGGTTTTGTGGCTCCGCTGGAGATCTGCATTCACCTCCAGAAGAAGAGTGACCAGGGCCTTCCCACACTCCTCCATAGTCTGCAAAAGGAATAGAGAAGGGAACAGGCAGTGCTTTTTTTGAGGTGGTAAGCACCAGTATGCCATATCACCACCTCTCTCCCCCCCTCCCAATCTCACCTCTGCCACTTGCCAGCTAATGATTAAGGAAGGCACTGGTGGCCTTATCTGAAATTGCCTGGATTACATTTAACTACAAATGAGAGCTCATTTGGGTCTATCCATATGGACAAGAAATGCAATGTGTGAAGCACTGCCTACTTTCATCCATCCCAGAATCTATAAGATGCAGAATTCAACAACCCAGCAACATGCTCTCAGTGTAAGCTCTGTCCAACTAAAACACACACACACACACACACACACACACACACACTTACCTTTACCATTGGCTTCAGGTGTTGCTTCTTCATCTGGAACCACTCTGCTGTTCCAGTCTGAGAAAACAGGACAAGGAATGAAGAGTACTACAGTCATGTTCCACCACATGCTTCCAACCCCATTAAAAGTCCACGTTCAGATGTGAAGTCAGGGATCAATCACATCTGAACAATGTATTATCTGGGGCCATGGTTGGAAGCTACATTGTGCCAGATACTCAAAGATCACACAAGACAGGGAGAAAATTTCTGGGGTCATAGACTGATCTTTTGAGCCTTCTGGGAAATGCTACTTGCTGAACAGACTCTCTGAAGAAAAGGTGACGAATGGATTTCTCTAGGGTGGCAGACACAGAAAACCCAAAGCCCAGCACTGGTGGTCAGTTTTGGAAAACAGGATTACACTAACCATTTTCTAGCTCCAGCTCCACACTGAAGGAAGGAATATAGAAGCCCTCAATATCTCAATGCGAGCTTGGGGGGAAAGGCCCAGTAGCCATGTACCTTGAGTGCCTCTGTCACCATTTCCTGAAGGTCAGGGGTTTCTGTACAAAGTTCTCTGAAGGCTTTCATTTTACACATCTGCACCAAGAGTCTGTGTGGCAATGAAAAAAAGCATTGATGAAGTTTAATGCTATTTGAATAAAGGTTTAGGATTTATTTTCCTACAGCCTAGGACCCTCGTACCTACAGGACCACTTCTCCTGGTATGTCCCACAGAGGACCTTACGGTCTTCCAATAAAAACATGTTGGAGATCCCGGGCCACAGGGAGGTTAGGCTGCCTCAACCAGAGCCAGGGCTTTTTCCGCTGTGGCTCCGATCTGGTGGAACGCTCTGTCACAAAACACTAGGGCCCTGCGGGACTTGACATCTGCCTGCAAGACGGAGTTGTTCTGCCAGGCCTTTGGCCAAGGCACAGTCTGACTCCCTCTCTTCTTCTGTATCCTCATAGAACTCTAACCCAATGGTTGCCATTAATTTGATTCTGAATTGATTTTAGAATGTATTTTAATTCATTGACTGTGTGGTTTTATGTACTGTGCTATTTTTACTTCTTGTTAGCCGCTCTGAACCCGGCTTTGGCTGGGGAGGGCAGGATACAAATAAAAATGTATTATTATTATCACACATGAGTTGCGATCTCTCTTCTAGCAGGGATCTTAATGGCTTTCCACACATCAACCCTAGCACCCTTAAAGACCACCTTCAGTTAGGAGTTTGACGAATGGGGTTACAGTGGTGCTGATTCCTTCTGGATGGGCCATTCCAGAAGATGACTCTGGGTAATCTGTTACACTCCATCCTTTTCGTCCTTCAGTGTTCTGTCTTATCCCTCAATATTTTTAGCATCTATACAGATGCAAAAGGAGAAATCCTCTGTAGGCTTGGACTGACTGTGTCATCAGTATGCAGATATGACACACAGCTCTGCCTCTTTTCTCCTAAGCCAAGGTGTGGGGAAGGCTGATTGTGGTCCTTTTCATAGGGAAGCTTTGTGACAGCTCACCTGAGCAGTGATTGTAGCTTCTTTGTAGAATTAGGAGCAGAAAGCGGAAAGACAATCTGGTACTTCCGGATTAGAGAAATCCCATAAGCCAGCAAGCACTGAAAAGAGTCGGCCAGTTCTACATTCTGAGGAAAGAAACAAATATTTATTTGTGTGTGTGTGTGTGTGTGTGTGTGTGTATCAGACCTAGTGAGAAGTACCTTTTGAGAGAAGTGAGTCGCCCAAGAAAGATCAAAGGCTGTGTTGAGAAAAGAAAGCACTCAGGATTGATTAATTTAAATAATGTTATTATTTACACCACACCCATCAACTCTGTGTGGCTTCCAGAAAAATATAAAAACATATTAAAATGTCAGACATTTAAAACTCCTCAAAGCAGCTCACAAAACCTCAAAGCAGTTTACACCTCAAAGCCGGTTTCACCCCCAACCCTTCCTCCTCCTCTGTCGGTAACAAGAGCCATACAGATCTTCCAAAATGACCCAAAAGCAGAACGAAAAGACACGAGAAAGTAGAAAAACCTGGTAAAGGGCAACCGCAGCACTGAGAGGTGCCAAGTAGTGGTCATTTTTGCATGCCTAAGTATTCATGTGCATAAGTGTTGCTGCATCAGTCCACATGGGGGACTCAGCAGGAACTCCTTTTAGGTTAAACATGGTTCAAAGGCTCTCTCCTGCTGGACAGTCATATTCTACTCTACTAGCGCTTGCAATTTCAGGTTTCTTTCTTACCTGCTCCTGTCTTAATCGACCTTCCACCCACTGGTACTCTATGCTGGTGATCTGGTGAAGCAGGCAGCTGCTGTCAAACTCCAAGTTCTGGTAAAGCTTGCTGTAAGCCAGCCAGTGCCTGTGTCAAGCAGGGAGAGGTCACACAATAAGCACTGGAATCTCTTCATCTCTTTGCAGAAAGCGGGGGATTGGTTTTCTTAATGTCTCTCGGGGTGGAATTTAGATTTTTGTAGAATTATCATAGAGTTGGAAGGGATCCTGAGGGTCATCTAATCCAACCCCCTGCAGTGCAGGAATCCTGTCCATAGCTGTCCCCGAGTGGACTTGAACCATCAACCTTCTGGTTGACAGCCACAAGCACTGACCCATTGTGCCACCTCCAGGTTGAAGAAGCTGAAACTGGTTATTGGAGATTGCTAAGTGATGAGAGAGGAGAGAGTTATTCTGTCAATAGTAAATAGCTCTGGAAAGGTCTATTCAAAGAAGGGTGGGGTCACAATGTGTGCATAGTATATGGAAATGAATCAAACTCATGAATGGGATTCTAGGACTGACAGAGGAATCAGCAGAAGGCATCTGTGACTAAAGGCACCATCAGATGACTTCCATCCCAATTTGTTTACAAAGAGATTAGAGGACATTGGCTACTTAATGAGCATTTGTTCTGGTTTGTTTGTGAGGAGGTTAGATGAGGTTGCATCAAAGCCAGTGTTATCCCACACCCTCCAGTGCATTTCCCTATCACTTGGTCCACATCAGAAAAAAATCCAATCTTTTTGGGGAAGCAGACTTGTTAAGCAAGACCTCCCAACCAACTATGACCTGAATTTGATTGGATCCCACCCGAAAATAGCAACAATCCTAACTCCTAATGCCATTTGATTGCTGAAGTAACTTCCACATGGCAATAGCTGCTGCCTCGGGTGGAAGAGTGCAGGAGATACTCACGCCATAACCTGGTGGAAGTCTGAAATATCTTTTTGTGTAGCATGCAGATACAAGATTGTACTGGCATGTTTGCTCAACTCTCCATTCCAGGAAGTGCTGCCCACCTGCAAGGGAAAGGAAGGAGACTGTAGCAGTCCTGTTGACATCATGACTGCTTTGAGAAGCTCTAGCAACCAGTTGCTCTGTGAGACTCTTGCTTTGTGCTTCTTTCTGCTGAAGCTCAGTTTCCATTTAGCGCCACTTACCTAGATTAGATTATTGAACTAGATGGAAGGAAACAGGGAGTAACCAAGTCAAGTCCATCATTTACCTGGTGCCGAAGAAGCTCATAAGAAACCATCTGCTGAAGAAGGTGCCGGTGGACTGTGTAGCTTGGCTGTGTCTTGCTGGCTGAGGTGGCTCTCTAGAAAGGAAACAATGCCAGGCATCCAGCTTTTAGAAAGCGCTAGAAGAGGGTGTTCTCTGCATACGTACCACAGACTGGAATCAACTAACTGGGCCCCACCAGTGGAAGCCTTCTGCTAGCGAAATGAGGGCTTCCCTCCTCTCCTCCATCCTACATGCCTTCTGCCTCCCTCAATTGACTGGAAGGGGTTCAGAATAACCCCTGAAACAGCACATGGTGGGGGAAGATTGTTCCTCCAGGCAAGCGCATGGCTTCCCCAAAATAATCCTGGGAATGTAGTTTTCCCCTCACAGAGTGCAGTAAAAAATACATTACTAAATTCAATAAATAAGCATTTGCTGTCCTTTCATGACACCAAAAATCAGCTGCCTGAGGCAGGCACCTTACTCTGCCTAACGACAGAGCTGGCTCAGTTGCACACACACTTTCTCACAATACTGGGGATTGCTGATCTCTACATGTTCAATCATAACATTGACCCCTATTAGAACACCTGACAAAGTGTCTCTTATATCTCATTTACCTTCCTCTGAGATGTATAACCAAGGCAGGGTAGAAATATATGAGACAAAGCCCATACTAGTAAAAGACCAATTCCCAATAGAGCTATAATAAGCCATAGCAGCAAAACAACACAGTTTCAGAACATCTGAATGTCATTTGAAAGGGTAAAGTCTTTACCTCCTCCTTTGGGAAGGTAACCAAAGACTGGGTCAGGCAAACCTCCAGCAGGAGGTGACAACACAGGAGAAAAAGCCTTGCACTTTGATGCCACACCAGCCTAACCGTTGAAGACTGCAGCTCATAGTTCAGAGCCCCCTCCCCAGCTGCCTTCATATCGCCCTCTAAATGGTAAGGGGCCACTCCCTTACCCTCTTATGCATAAAAAGGAACTGCAGGTGGCAATGTCCTCGGTTGGGGTAGGTTTCTGTGCGAGGTTCCAGCCTGCACCAGCGGTCGTCTCTGCCGTGCAGGTCCTGTCCAAACAAAGAGAGAAAACAGTGGGCAGATGATGAAAAGAGAGTTTAGGATAGTTCAGGCAGGTGAATTAGAGGCATCACCACTGAATTGTGTTAGGCTGCCATCCAAACCCTGGTAAACGGCTGCTGCACCAGCCTGAAATTGGCTCAGGGATTGGGCCAAGATTGGGCACAATGCCCTCATGGGAGAGAAATAGGGTCAGCTCAGGATCCAGCAGATCTCAGACTGGCTCAACTATCCTCCATTTCAGGGCTTGCTGCAGGATGTTGTGGCAGGGACCCTGCCAGTGACTCTTCTGCCCACGCGTTGGGTGGGTGAAACAGGGAGCTGTCACTCTGGGGGTAGAAGCCAGCAGTGGCAGAAGCCAACACATACACCCCATGCCCAAAACAGAGGGGGTTTGGATTATAGCCTTTGATACATTGTGAAAAATTAAATAAATGTATTTTTTGAAAAACACAACAAAGCAATTCTGATTGCAGAACACACATTTTCAACATGACCGCAGCATTTAATCAATTTGTTGCTATGGTTACAGTTTGGTAAATTACAGATTTGAACCTGCTCCCTCCAATCAGTGAGGTTGGAGTGACAACAAAAACCAACTCTGGAATCTGGATCTCTTTTAGTGGCACATACCATGCCAGCTGCCACACAGGTCCCATCTTCCCTGGACCACACTGGATTTAAAAAATAATAATGAACCAAGACGGCTTTCTTTATCTAAAGCAGGGATAATTAAACTTCTTTGATTGACAGCCACACTTATCCTTAACCAACCCTCTGGGAGCCACATACCAAACAATCTCACATGTGCATTTGCAGGAGACACATAGAGAATCCCACCTCCCTAACTCAAAGTTTTGGTTAACCACTTTATGACATGTGAATTATTTGTGAGGATTAACCATGGCTCAAGGAAGACCAGGATGCCAACAGGTAAAACATTGCCATGAAAATTCGCTCTTCCCTTCCTCACCTGCAGGCGAAGTACCACATTCCCCAGAAAGTCATCCTGCCCTTTGTCCTTGCGAGCTTCCTTAAAAATCCTGGAGAGGAAAAAGCAAACCAGAGAGGGTGAAATGGCAGGGTGAGACTTCTCTTGTACAGTGGCACCTCTGGATGTGAACGGGAACGCAACCCATTTTGAGCATCTGCGCATGCGCAAGCACTGAAACCCGGAAGTAATGCGCTCTGTTACTTCCGGGTTGCTGCAAAGCACAACCTGAAAATGCTCAACCCAAAGCTACTTCAACCCGAGGTATGACTGTACAGAAGAGCACAGAATATTGTTCCATTTTGTTCTTTAAATGCCTTTTCTTGCTTGTCCAATAGCCTCTCTGGATGACCCTACATTAACGTGAAAAGGCCCATGGTTAGTACAAACCTCTTCAGGCCATGGAGGTCTGTCAACTCTCCCAGTTTGTGGCGCACAGTTTCGACATCATCATCCGAGTCCCTACAAGAAACAGATTAATAATAATAATAATAATTTATTATTTGTACCCCGCCCATCTGGCTGGGTTTCCCCAGACACTCTGGGTGGCTTCCAACAAAGACCAAAAATACACTAAAATGTCACACATTAAAAACTTCCCTGAACAGGGCTGCCTGATTTAAAGATGTACAAGTGAAACAGAGAGAGAGATGGAAACAAAATGAGAAGAGTAGCAGCCAAAATCACAATTTAGTATTCTGGGCAGATGGACTGACATTAGCAGAGTGGTATATTTCTGTGAGGGTGCAATGTTAGGCCTGACCAACTCCACAGAGATCTTTGAAGGCATACAATTCAAATGTCACACAGGGTACAAGTGCTGTGAGGAATAACACCCAACCCTACTTACCACATGTCTAGATGTAACCAGGCGTTCTCTATATCTTTAAACTCCCTGGAAGGTAAAATTGGAACTATTTATTAATGCAATGAATATGCAGTTGAAAATTCACTCCATTTTTATTCCACCTTTCCTCCAAGAAACTGAAAAGTGGCCCATATATAACCAAAAATAAATAATGTTGCAATTAAAGCAAACTATGATTACAGCTAACAATATACCAAAGAATAAGCAGCTGCACAGGCAAAAGAACTTCTATCAGCCAGTAATGCAAATGAAGGACTTGGGTTTCCTTCTGGAGAATGTGGTATTGTCACTCTTCCCAAGGATGCCAGATAATTAAATAGATGGGATGTAAAAGAACCATTTAAGTCCAGTGTTTCTCTAACCTGGGTTTCTAGCTGTTTTGGGACCATAGTTCCTATCAGTTCCTGATCACTGGTCCTGCTAGCTAGGGATGATGGGAGTTGTGGTCCAAAAACAGCTGGAGACCTAAGTTTGGGAAACATCGATTTAGTCAAAGTGAACTTTCAACCAGGGTTCTGCCTTCTGATACAATTAAGCAACACAGTGCGATATGTAACATTATTTATATTTTGATATATGTGCTCTTAGAGAGTTCAATACAGCACTGCTTTCATATTTTCGGTCTTGTTGCTGTTTATGCATTGCTAATTTTTCACCAGAAGCTAAAGAGGCACCTCTTTCCCCAGAACTCTGGAAAGTGCTGATGTTGGGAACCACCCTGATAATTTTAATCACCTGCTTTTATACCCTGCTGATGTTTTGTTTTATTCTTTTGACATTTTATAGCGTTCACTGTTTATTTTACTATTTTTACATGATGCCTTTCTGCCTTGTGAACATATGGCGAAGGGCACACTATGCATAAGGATTTATTTATATATTAGGCTTGTTAGCCACTTGCTACCTGAAAGCCTCCATGCAAACCTACATAACACATCTGAAAACATGAATATAAATACATTACACCATGAAAGCAAAACAACCCCCATAACAGCCATATGTAAACAAGCATACCTCATTATGACAACCAGCTGATTATAGGCATTATTTTTAGAATTGTCCTGGATTTGCAGCTATATATATTCATCTATCTGAGTCACCCTCAACCCAAACAGCAGCAGATCTTCTCATAGGGCAACAAACCACTTTCTCTGGGTTTGCCACCCTGCTGAATATTAGTCTGGATCTCATGGCAGTGACCTGAAACCATGCTGCAAAACGTCAAATTACTAGAGAATCACTTCTCCAATAAGGATAACCTGCATACTACTCCTTTCGCCAGCTGCCAACCCCCTTGCTACTTTCATGGGCGATGCATACATACACAGGAGAGGCAGATTTGGAGATTTGGTTCTTGCCTGTGGTTCCTGCAAGGACTGGGAAGAGGAAGCACCCCAAATTGTCAGAAGCAAAACACACTCTCTTAAGGAAGCAAGACGTACAGGATAAAGGTTTCATTCCACACAGGATTTAGAGTCTGGCTGATGATTTGGGTGCGGTGAGTCTGGTCTTCAGGGAGCAGATTCTTCACCACAGCCTTTGATCGCTTTTTGTTCTCTTGACGGGAGCCACCACTGCTGGAAGAGTCCCGAGTTTTCTCTTCTATCCCTAGGAGGCAGTATGGGTCGCTGAATCCTGCAAGCACAGAAGTAGCTATTGAAACGTACAGGGATCGCTTTATATGTTAAGGCCCCCTCACTACCAGCAGGATGGGAGTTGGGAAATGTTCTCAGTGTTTTACAGGGAGAAGCCCATTCTGAGCTGAAGGAGGAACCATATTTTTAGGTTCAAAAGTCTCTTTGAGTTGTACACTCACCACTGACATCTTTACCCAGAATGCCCCTGGCTTGCTTCACAGTTGCTTTAAGACAAAAAATTGGTTTCTGAAGAAGAAATAGAAAGAATACATTTAACTTGCGAGTCATTCAATGCTTCAAAAAACAGCACAGAACAGATCCACAGAGCAGATCCTGGGAGTTTGCGAACAGACCTTGCAAACAGGGACAAGGATTGCTGGAGGAGACTGAAGAGTAAGCTTAAGGAGCCTGAGGGGTGTGTGTGTGGCTGATGGCTCTGTGGGAACACAGGATCTGAGGGGGAGGAGTTACAACTGAGAGGAAGCCAGGCTGAGGGAGGAGTTAGCAACCAGCAGCAGTCAAACTTTGCTCATTGCAGATCCTGGCAGCTTGTGACCAGACCTCACAAACAGGGGCATTTGCAAGGGCATTTAGCGGGGGAGTTTAAGGGGAAGGCCCAGAGTTCTGTCTCTTGGTGTGCATAGGACCAGAGACTTGGGGGGCAAGGGAGCTGCTGCAGTGACCTCTAACACCTGTGCCATGTTTGTCATTCTGCCAGAGAACAAGCAACTGCAAGCAGTTAGGAAAAACACACATGGTGTGTGTGAAGTAGCTGGTGAGGGGCATGGCTAGGGAGAAGGTGTGGTCTGGAGAGAGTTATGAGTCCCAGATAAAGAGAAGGTCTGAGTTCCCCTCCCCTTAGACTTTACCTCTAGCTCTTTGACCCTCTGTAGTAGAATATCATGCTCTTCTGGATCCATATTGAAGGCCTGGTTGAGATATTGGAAAAGAAATAATTAGAGACCTACTTGTTTTTATAATACTGCATGAAGTGGGGCAAGTTCCATCGCCTCGAGCTCAGTGAAGGGAGACAGCATCGAGCAGGCATGCTAAGAGTAGTCCCTTATAGCCTTGACACGGATTATTTTAGATTATACATAAAATAGAGCTGAGGAATTGATAGCTCTACAGACTACAATTCCCATCACCCCTGACAACTGGTGATGCTGGCAGGAGCTGATAGGAACTAGAGTCCCAACAATAACTGGAGGGCCACAGGTTCCCCATGCTTGGCTTAAAAGAAGAACAATTTGTTACAGTTCTTAGGGCTTCAGTTTTCATTGCCCCTTGATGTCTCAGGATAGCTGCTTGCACATTCTCCATACGTACATCTTTCCTGATCATTGGATCAGCAGGCTATTTGGGTCAGCTTTTAGAGGCTGTCTTTCAAACAGCATTAATTCTGTGCCCAAACATACACCCTTCCCAGTAGAGACCAAATTGCTTGATTGAATATCACTTTTATTTCAAAACATAAGGGGGACCATAACCCCTTATGTGGGAAGTGGGAGTGGGAAGTAGCAAAGAATTGTGAAAGCCACCTTGAAAAGGGGTGGGTATCCACAATGTCAAATTATGAAATTAAAAGGAAGAGAGAAGAAAGGAACCCTGATGGTGGAAGAGGCAATAATACCCAGATATAGAAAAGAGATGCTGAGGAAAGGTTAGTACATCTTTCAAATGGCACCAACTTTAAATAAATATTAATGTGGGCTGGGACAGGACACAGAATATGGTCAGACAGAATATCTTTCTGCTATTTATTTTCTAAGGCAAGTTGTACCAAAATTATCTACTGCAGAACATCCTAAGCCTAGCCACTAGCTTTCTGAAAAAGGCAATTTCAGGTGGCCTCTCAAACATCAGGCCTTCTTAAGGAATGAAGCCTAGCAAGTAGAGTTTTGTCTGTTGGCTTCTACCGTCACCATTACTTGCCTGCAGTTCTTCTCTGATAAATGGACTCCATATAGCAGAGAATAAACACTTTCCTCAAGACGTCATTTGGGATGTCTTGTGGGTGTGACGGTGGTAGGGATATTAACAAAACTGAGACAGTCATTTCTTGCAGTGGGAGGAAAAGAAATGGGCAAGGCAAGAACACAACCCCAAACAGAGATGGATGCCAGACTTTAGGCTGGATATTAATGAGACAAGATGGACTTGGCTTTCATCTGACCTTCTGCACATATGTGTACAGCTCATCTGGATCAGCAACATGGGTAAGTTCTGGTTTGCCCAAGCGATGTAGAATGGTGTAGAGGACCTCTTCATATAGCAGGGTGCGCTGCAACAGCAGATTAGAAACAGATCAAAACAAAGGCAAAGTCTTCTGGGTTACTGTCCCTGCATTCTTACTTTATTGTGGATTGGTTAACCAAAGGGAACCTTGAACAGAATAAGGTTGTTGTTCATGAGGGAAGGGTTTTTCATACTATTAATCCATTTTAACATATCTCAGGGCTGGATTTCATGATGTAGAACCAGAGAAGTGGAAGTAGCCAGAAGACCATCTGATTCAAACCAATTATCACATGGCAGAGGGCAGAACCCCCTTCCAACCTGCCATGACCAACTCCCTTCCTTTTGGACTAACACAGCACTTTGACTTCAGCTCTAGAGGCATGCCTATTGTGTCTCAAGGCAGATTGATGCCAACAGGACCTTGGAGGAGGGAGATTCCAATGGTGCCCCTAGCACCTATGGAGATCATCACCCAGAAAGCTGCCCCAGTCAGAAAGAACCTAATACACCATGACTGGCCCTACTCTCCAATGTTAGATCCTCAAAATCCCCCAGGAGCAGAAACAGCAGCAGATCTGAGTAGAGAACCAGCCCAGAAAGTGCAAAGTGCAGCATATATCTGACAACACAATGCCTCCCTTCTCTTAGTGCTACTAAGGAGAAGAAAGCCAGAAACAATATGTGCTCTGGATCCGCGCCCTGCTGCTGCTGCTGCTGCTGCGGGATGGAGAAGTAGAATCAGCTATAAAGCTGCCCAGCTGGTGCACAGCAGTTGCTGTGACTCATCTTCTGTCTGTTGTCTGTGATGGGAGCTGTCCAGCTAGAGAGTCTCTACAGATGGACAGCTCCCCTGCTGCTTTGGATGACTTGCTTCCTGAGCTCTGGGCTTGCCAAGAAGATGGGAAGATGAGCAAAGCAGCAACGATGATCAGGAGTTACAGTCACACTAACCAACCTAACACAGTGAAGTTGACAGTCTGCCACAACAAACTAGGAGCTCTGCACAGGAAACAGCTCCAGGCTGTATAGCATGGTGTGGGTGTGTTTCACACAGGGTGGATAAAAAAAATCCATTTTTTTTAAAATGGATTTTTAATTTAAATCAGATTTTTTAAAATTTAAATCGGATTTTTAAAATAAAATGCTTTTGGAGGGAAAATCTTTCTAAAGATAGCTTTCTATTTAAGTTACATTATAGTCCAAAGGCTTTTCATCAGGATATAAGGATTTGTTTTAAGTTTTTCAGTCTAAGGTTTTTTTAAAAAGAAAGTTTAACCACAGCAGTTAACGAACATGGATACATATGCTATAATGTTATTGTTTTAGTTAAATAAATTGTTTAAATTATTATTAAGGAAATGATTATTTTTCTCCTTCCAATAAAGTACAGCAGAAAAGTTGTCCAATTATAAATAGTTAACTTATTAAGCCTCACAATAATTTCATAATTATCTGTTAATGTATTTGTAATAGTATAACCAAATCAGTATTTTTTTCTATAACTGTAAAAACTGTAGAAACTGTAAATAAAAACTAAATTTATTATTCCAAAAATGAAACCTTCATCTGGTTGTAAACATTAAGATTATACCAGCAAGAATTAATTTTTCTGTAAAAAAAATGATTTAAATCAAGCCTTACTGACTAGTGATTTAAATCATGATTTAAATCAATTTGATTTAAATCAAATCCACCCTGGTTTCATGTTTTATTTCATGCTGAAATGCACCTCTTCACCTCTGTTTCTGACACCTGAGATATACATTTTTAGGACCCACCCATCTTTTTCTATTATTATTTTTTTGTAAGTTTTTAAACTCTTTTAAACTGTATGTCAAATTGTTGTAACCGGCTTGAGGGCCTGACAGTGAAGGGTGGGTAATTAACAATAACAACAACCAGAAGAAGAAGAAGACGACGACGTTCAGAACAGCTAGACACCTAGGCATAATGATTGGAGATAACAAATCTGTCCCTTTTTCTAAAAACAGTACATAATATTCGAGCTCATCCACTGAATCTGGCTGAATAACCCAGACACACACACAAAAAAGGGAAGGTACTATTTCACAGAATGCATCATTACCTTATGGAATTCATTGCCTGAGGATGTGGAGGCAGTCAATGGACTAAATGGCCTTATAAAAGGGATTAGACAAATTCGTGGAGGAAAATGTGTCAATGGCTATAAGCTGTGATGGCTAAATGAAGCTTCTAGGCTCAGAGCACAGGCAATACAGTCTCTGAATAGCAGGTGTTAGGACACCTACAAACCCTTCTTTGTATGTTTTCCAGAGGCATCTACATACTTTTAAAGCACATTCCTCCGGCCAAAGAATCTTGGAAACTAGTTTCCACTTCACAGAGCTACAATTCCCAACAACTTAAACTACAGTTGCCAGGATTCTTTGGGGGAAGTAATGCACTTTAAGCGCATGGTGTGTGCCCATTGTTGGAAATAAAGATGCTGAACAAGTGGTCCTTTGGCATGATCCACCAAGGCTCTCTGATTGCATACTATTAGGAATGAATAGGTTCTTACCTCTCTCTTAGAGAATTTATGAGACAGGTCCATCTGCGGAAAACAAAAGAAAAATACTTTCATTGACAAGCTGTAATCAGTGGTGCTGTCAAAGTAAGACTTTGGAGCAGGAACATAGGGTCTTACTCAGCAGAATGGATCAGGAGGGGTCCCAAAATGGGGCAAATGCATTACTACAAATGCTTACCACATTGTAACTTTAAAACTAACACAGAAACATCATCAAAATCAGAAATATATACATAAGCAAAAGCAAGTTTTTTAAAAAATCATTATGCCATATTTAAAAGTTGTCTACCTTCCCAAATAAATCTTGTTTTCAATAAAGACAGAGGGGGAAGAAAAGCAGAAGGCAATTACTCTCCTTTTTAACACTCAAAACAATGCTAAATAATTACAAAACATTCTATAGATATGTGGGTGCCTTAAAGTACAAGTGGAGATCCTTTCCCCAACACCAAGTACACAGAGCATTTCCCAAAATCTGGAGCAAGCCGGCAGCGCATCTAGGTTCTCAGGTAGACATACATCTCAGGAACTTTTAGAATATAACAACAGCCAGTAACAATTTCGCTATTTGTCTCGTGAATTAAGGGCAGCATGCAATAAAGAGTTCCATTTGAACACAGACTTCTGGATGCACAATGGAATTTTCCTTCCCTCTCCTTATGCACCCCTTTAAGCTGTTCTGGGTTTTCCCCAACCCTCTGGAGCAGCTATGGGGAGGGTCCAAAGGCTATGGAGGGAGAAGTCTTTGCACTCATGGAACAACTTCATTGGATACTACCCTAAATGTTTACATTTTCTTACAAAAAACAGCTCTACTCCTCTGTAATATTTACATGATTTCACAGTATATTGTAAACAACAACCAAAACTACAACAACCCATTCTTTATTAAACACAATGGGTTGTAGGCATTAACGTTTATTGCAAGCAATCTTACAGGGATTGGGCACAACCGAAGGAAACCTGGAGCAACCTTAACTACTGATACATTACTATGGTAAAAAGACTGGGAACAGTAGCTTGAAAATGAAATGATTTCCTTTTATAGGTCTGCTGTGTACTTTACACAAGAGACAGAAAACTGAAGATGAGGCTTTTCTGCCTGCCTGCCCAGCAAATGTACTGCACAAGAAAACTGCTGGGAGGTTGTCCTCAGCCGGAGGAATCACCAGCTGGAGAAAGTGAGCAATAAATGCTGGCATTATATATGTGGATTCTTAAGAGCCCAGACAAGTTAATGAGGAGTATTAAAAAGATGCACTAGTAAGTCTGTGAACCTGGTATGAAAAGCAAGAGGACGCGATGCTCCCAACATGTGTTCCAGGAAGAAAATGGTTTGGCTGCCTTGACAATTCATCACTACTAACTACAGCTAACAGCTACTCACCCTCCCAGTTTGCAGATAACACTGCAGGTACTGTATATATAGAATAATGATCCTGCCCAAGGAAAGTGGAAGGAAACCAATTCCACACACCCCCATTGCTCCCACAATACAGTGGTACCTCTGGTTACGAACTTAATTCGTTTCGGAGGTCTGTTCTTAACCTGAAACCATTCTTAACCTGAGGTACCACTTTAGCTAATGGGGCCTCCCGCTGCCACCAGTGCGCGATTTCTGTTCTCATCCTGAGGTAAAGTTCTTAACCCAAGGTACTACTTCCGGGTTAGCGGAGTCTATAACCCGAAGTGTTTGTAACCCGAGGTACCACTATAGTCTGTAGCTAACATAAACATGCTAGCTTCACTAGAGTTGTCCTGGTAGTCAGGAGAAAAATGCTTCACGGGGAAGGGTGAAGATCAGGTAAAACTGAGGGTAGGGGAGAATGTGGTGCATACCCATCCACCCCCCATTTGCAGCTTGTGGTTGGTTGCAATCAATACCCCCTCAACACAAAATCAGGCCATCATGAGCACTGCCCTGGAAGGCAACAAGGACATGTGCCAATGCTTCTTCCTAATTCTGTCCTGTATGTTCCACCCACCATGAGTGATCATGACCTTCCATTTGTTTTTTTAAACTTTATTACAACTTTAAACCTAACACAGCACACACACACACAAAATCATTATCAAAGTCAGCAACATATACATAAGCAAAACCAAGAAATTTTTCTTAAAAAAATATATATCATTCTGCTTTATTAGGAAGATCTAATACCGTTCCTAATTAATCTTTTTTTCAATAAAGCCAAAGAAGAAGAAGAAAAGAGAGAGTCAACAGCAATGGCTTTCAAACAATGCTACATATTACGAAACTTTCAAGAGCAGGAGTCAGCAAACATTTTCAGCAGGGGGCCGGTCCACTGTCCCTCAGACCTTGTGGGGGGCCGGACTATATTTTGGGGATAAAAAATGAGCGAATTCCTATGCCCCACAAATAACCCAGAGATGCATCTTTAATAAAAACACACATTCTACTCATGTAAAAACACCAGGCAGGGCCCACAAATAACCCAGAGATGCATTTTAAATAAAAGGACACATTCTACTCAAGTAAAAACAAAATGATTTCCAGACTGTCCGCGGGCCGGATTGAGAAGGCGATTGGGCCGGATCCGGCCCTGGGCCTTAGTTTGCCTACCCAGGTTCTAGAGATGCTGATGCCTTGACTTCCACTTCTGGTCTTAGACGCAGAGAGGTATAGGTATGTGTGTTATTTTTAGCAGCTTTGCTGTGTGCTCTCTACATTTTCCAGGTTTGAGTGTTCATTTGGTTTTTTAAATATGGATTTGGTTTTTTTAAGATCCCCGTCAGACATTTTCCACACTGCAAAAACAAGCACCACTATAAAAAAGGTTGTGAGTTGCTGCTTGCTGACTTGCAAGTTGTGCTTTCTTTCTTTTAGAAATAAGAGAACCACACCATGCCATAACCACAGCCATAAGTGGTTAGTGCAGGGGGGTGAGGAAGTGGAAAGGAGTTTTACGGCACAGCAAGAACAAGACTTGCTCCAATGAGTCTTTGTTTTCTGATTAGGAATTTAAAAGGCAGGTTTGCATCAGTAGTATTCTCCTCCCAATTCCTAACTTGCAAGGCATCAGAAACGACCACAGGAGGGAAAGGATACTGGATCAGCTCAACAAGTCATAAACTGCTTGATGAACAGAAACTAGCTACTTGTTAAGCCCTGGGTAGCTACTGGAAGAAAACGTGGCATGATTTGTCTATGGTCATTGGAGATATTATTTGTCAAGGCCATTCCTTCATCAACTAACCCACTCGGAGGAACTCCACCACCAGGAAGTCTTTAACGCTAGCTAATTTCGCACATGCAAAATTAACAAGTTACACCAAATGTTATGCAAGGACTTGACAAATATCAGGAAGCAAAAAGCCCTTAGATGTTCCTCCACGATCTGGCTCATGTGGTCTGCACACTATTCTTTTCCAAGACTGCAACTGCCAGGGCATCTCATCCCCTGCCCTGCAAAAAGTGGGTAAAAGCTAGACCTCAAAGTAAGAATCAGTAGCTAGAGAACTGGGCTTGATGTAACAAATCCAGGTCCAAAATCCTCATTAAGTAGCTCATGGCCTCTCAGCCTAACCTACCCTAACGGGTGGTTGTGAATCTAAAAAAGCTCTTTAGAAGAAATGTATTACGAAATTTAAAAATGGGATCTAAAGCACCCCCAAAGGTTTCAGTATCTCAGCAGGTTGAAGCAGAACATGAAAGGGAAGAGATTGAAAAGCAAGAGCTGTAACAAGCCGCTAAAGAACATTCTAAAGTGAAAGAAAAGGCTACATACTTTTTTGTTGTCTTTCCCAGGGGTTTCCCCCACCAGGGTCTCTCTGTCAGCCTCCATACTTGGGGAGGCCTGAGCAATAGGGAAAGCCTGAGCAAGTGGAGGAAGATGCCAGAGTGTATATACTCTTCAGAGGCTGAACCCTGAACTCAGAAGTCTGTCCCTGCCAGCACAGTGTTCCCATCAGCTCTCACATGCTTAAGAGGAAACCACACTCTTTTATCACACTCTGACCATTGTGACAGCAAACGGAAATGTACCCGGCCCTCTTTCACAGTTACCGAGTTGTCATTTCTCTAGAGCATGTGGAGACGTCTGTCACACTGGTGGCTGGTTCAAAACAAATTTATCGCCCTCTCTTTTATTATTTGCATTCAGCTGCCTTGAGAGTTACACCAATAGGGGTGCGACATAAATTCTCTGCACAAATAAAACAAATTAATATTCATATTGGAAATTAGTACTGCATATCCCCATGTGCTAAGGACAGGCTGAGTGGACAGACTGAGTGGAAAGACCTCTGAGAAAGCACTCTCAGATCCCAAACAGAGCACATATTCTTTAGTCCTCCTGACAAGGACAGACTGAATCATTTATCAGCAGGTTTCTCCCATCCTTTCACCTGACTCAGTGCTATGAGAAGCTGCCTTCCCCTCTTTATTTTACCCACACACCTGTCATGTATGCAAAGGTCCTGCACTCCTACAGGGCTAAGAAAACTCCCAAGGTAAGCAAGCTTAGTAAATAGTGCTTCTATCATGTTCAGGTTTAACTGCAAAGAATTTCCCTTCACCAGTTCACCATGTGGCTCCCACACCTTCACCACGTGGGTCACAGAGGTCTGACTCTTCTGTGCTTTTGCACACATTTGTCAACACACTAGCAAATTCATTGCATCCCTATGATTCCCATCCACGCGAGTGAGTGGTACCTGATGGGATGTATTTGCACTGTGTCTTGTGCACACGGCCAAGTTTTCTGAGATACAAGTTTCCTATATACCAGACTTGCAGAAAACAGTGGGTCAAAAATACCACACAAAAGAAATCTGTGTGTCATGTGGGCCCCACCAGCAGCCCATAGAGGAGCACCTGACTAGCAGAAGCAGGATGTGTCATGATAGATGGCACCCAGCAAAACATCACCACACATGTTAAAAAACCTCCCACACAATGTGCTCCAGTATGTCCACAGTTGGCTAACTTGCAATTTTAGGTTGGACGGGGGTGGGAAGGGCAGGCTGTCATTTGCATAAGGACAACACTGTGTAGATGATGTGAAGAACTTATATATATATAAGATGCGTTGATTCCACTACCAACTGCCTTCTGTACACAGCCACAGTACCTGCTTTCTGAGTTGTGATGAGTAACCTTTTGGTCTCTGCCTCCATTTCCTCCCACGCCACAGTAGGAAGCGTAGAAAGACATACACTCAGTTTCATTCTGTGTGAAGAATCTAATGTATGAAGTTTCTTCCCCACACATCCACCAATAAGAACTATGTCTGCTGTTGTTACTTAAGAGCAGACACAGCTCTTACGATCTAAGAAAGTACGTGGTTTCAAAGTCAACGTTGCCTCACTGAAACAGGCAGGAAGAAATATGCATTATCTGCATCAAACAAGCAGAAACTTCCACTTTACTCTTTTTAAGCACTGGAACTCAGCTGTACGGTACATCAAGAACTAAAATCGGACCTCATAGTTGTTTCAGTTGTCTAAAAAGGATAAAGGAGAATATATCTGGAACTCTACTTGATAAAGAGCAGCAGTCTTTTCTCTGGTTTATGACTGAGACACCCTGAGGGTTAGAGACAACGTCTTTCTTTTCACTGATGGGAAACAGGAAGATATATTATTCACATAAATGGCACTTTGATCAGATTGTAGTCCACCATATAACTGCATGTTATTATCACTTGCCAGCATCAACTGCCATCCTAAAAGCTCGCTATCAAGACTGGAGACCTCAGTTCCTCTTTCTTTGAAGTATCATAGAGAGGAGAGAAAGGAAGATTAAATGACTTGGCATATAGCAGTGATACTTCCACTGAATTCAGTGTCGTATTTAGACTTGGCATGTTTCTAGTCCCCATCAGCACCCAATTTTATTTTATTTTAGCTTATTGTAAAAAATATTGATGAACCAGTCTTTGGGCAAAAATGGGCCCCCAAGGCAACAATGAATTAATTAAACAATATAATTTATATACCGCTCTATGCACAAGGCAAAATTGGTTTACAATGAGCAAATGTATATTTTATAAATCCATAAAACAACACAATAACAAATAACTAAAACAGTTACTAGTAGCAGCAACAGCAATCAAGTCAGTCCTCCTCCAAATACCTGCCTAAATAACCAACTAAAACTATAAAGAAATGGGCCAGACATACCACAGTAGGGAGGGAGTTCCATATATGAGGAGTCACCACTGAAAAGGCCCTTTTCGGGGGGCACATCATGTACCACTTCCTGAGGAGGAACCATCAGGAGGGCCTCATCTACTGATTTTAAAGCAGGAGCGGTTTAATATGGAAGATGGTGACTTAGATTTATAAACTTTTACCTCAAAACTTTAAAGCCGTATTGTAACAAACATTTAAAAAACAACAGAAAAGTTGATTATATTTATAATAATCTGAAAGCCATGTGGTACAAAGAAGTTTAATGGCTTTCTGAAAACTAAATGAAGATGAAGCTAGTCTTGTCTCGCCTTCCGAGTGAGGGAATTCCATAATGGGATGCTGCCCAAAGGACCTGTCCAATTGTCCCATAAACCTAGCTTCTCTTGGAGATAGGACATACAACAGGGACGATGAATCTGATCTTACATTACAGGCAGGTTCATAAGGAGGAGGCAGTCTTTCAGATACCCTGGCCACAAAAAACGAAGGGATTTTGAGGTAACAAACAGCACCTTGAATTGTACCTAGAAACAAACTGAAAGCCAGTGTTGTTGTTGCAAGACCCGATACATTTTGGAAATCCAGCCTGGCAATTCCTCATATTTAATTAAATGAAAAATTAGTCTGCACCATTTAAAATATGGCTTCAAATAATTTGTTTTTCCAATAGCTTCTATTTTCCATCTATTTGCTTTGGCAGCTCTGGCTATAAATGCCACTGTGTTTTCCACTGCAGTTGCTGAGGTTACTTGCTGTCAAGCAACCACAAATCCCATAGAGAAAATTAGTCATTCACATAGCCTGACATGCCACCTTCATGTGTTTCTGCTAGTGCAGTACTAGCAAATTTTAAAAGAGACCTTTATTGTTAAAATTTCAGAAGTGACGTTCCAGGGCAATAACTTACATCACTCAAGTTGGCACCTTCCTCTCTTCCCCTGCAGCCCATGTGCCCCCCATTTTGTTCCAGAGGGTCCCCCAACACCAATGTGGATAAATTCAGGAGGGAGAAGACCATTTGTGTGAATGGACATCTGCTACATAAACGGGATATAGGGACGCAAGTGGCGCTGTGGTCTAAACCACTGAGTCTCTTGGGCTTGCCGATCGGAAGGTCGGCAGTTCGAATCCCCACAACAGAGTGAGCTCCCGTTGCTCTGTCCTAGCTCCTGCCAACCTAGCAGTTCGAAAGCACACCTATGCAAGTAGATGAATAGGTACTGCTGCGCCAGGAAGATAAACAGCGTTTCCATGCACTCTGGTTTCCATCATGGTGTTCCGTGTGCCAGTAGGACCACATGACCTGGAAAGTTGTCTGCAGAGAAACGCCAGTTCCATCGGCCTGAAAGCGAGATGAGCGCCACAACCCCATAGTCGCCTTTGACTGCACTTAACTGTCCAGGGGTCCTTTACCTTTTTTTTTTTTTTTTTACCTTAACACAAACGGGATGTCAGACACCCTAATTTTAGCTATTACTTCCAAAAACAAAAAAAGGTAGAAGAGGAACCTTGTCTAGGCAATATGCAACAGCCAGAATAAAGCTAGGTCACTGAAATTCATAGTATTGTGTAGTAGCTGTCTTTGTCCTAGCGTCTCTGTCCTGCTGGCCCTACCATTAGACAGAGTGGGGCAGCTTTGGAGGATGCTGCCTAATTGCCCAAATAGAAGTAAGATTGAACCATCACACTGGCTGTCTTTGTTACATGGAATGTAGGGGCACCATTTGGTCCTTTGCTTAAGGCAAAATATCTTGAGCCGGCCTTGTGTAGAAGCTTCCAGAAATCCTCTCACAGCTATGCAGTCATTATATGCTGAGGGTTCACAAAGCCCCACTCTACTGGGTTCTTTTACTTCCTCATCGCTCATGTCTTATGTTTTGCTTACCCAAATTATTCCCCTCTAGCAGTAGTAGCTTGTTTAAATTGGGAGTTCCTTCAAACTATAAGTAGCAATGTTGGAGGAACTGCATTAGGAAACACTGATGTTGAAAGAAGTTTCATTTCTTCTTTTGTCTCACAAGGAAAAAGGCTAGTCACTGAATACATGTATTAGGACAGTTTCCTCTCACACTAGGTGAGCTGCCAGTCTATTTGCTCTTCCACATCCAGCAGCAAACCATCACCTCTGGCACACATTTCATAAATAGAATTGCAGAGACCACTGCACATGCTAATTCTACCAATCAGAAAATCTTAATATAGCTGAAAGAAAGAAACAAAAATAAATCCTAAAGGTCTCAAATTAGATTGTCACATTTTTTCCCCTGCACTTAATCACTTTTTGACAGACATTTAGGGTTGTATCCAATGAAGCCATCCCAGTAGTGCAAGGACTTCCACTTGTGCAATGGAACTTCCTCTCGCTCCCCCCACCCCCATGCCCTCAAATCTATTTCTGTTGGTTCCTCAAACTCTCTGGAGCAAATAGGGGACAAAAATGGTGGCAGTGACTTGCCCAAGGACACCCAGGGAATTTTAATGGATGAGCGGGGATTTGAACCCTGGTCTGCCTATCCTAGTCTTATACTCTAACCTGGGGATGTTGCTAGGTGACAGCTCCCCTCATCCTTGACTTTAGGCCATACTGGCTATGCTATGCCTGATGGGAAATGGAACCCAACAACACTTGGAGGGCCTCGGGTTCCCCATTCCTGTTCTAACCACCACACCACACTGGTTCTCAACGGGGGAAGCTTTTAATTTAGTAGGAAAAGTACTTTCTGCCATGGTATTGCAGTTAAGAGAAAAGTTGTGGCATTCAACAGTTGAGTAACAGGCAGTGATTCAAGACACTGAAGGCCTGATAAGGGGGGGGAAAGTCTATATCCCTTACACACACACACACACACACACACACACACACAACAACACACAGTCAGTCACCCAGGTGTTAAATTCCACAGCAGCAACAACCTTCTCTCTGGAAAACCACATTTGCTTGTTTGTGCTAAGAGCTACAGACTTGTGTGAAATGGGGCAATACTGTAAGTTACTGCTCTCCCAAATAACAACCACAGCCTCTAAATATTTTACTATGACAAAAAAAACCCTCATGTTCAACCAATTTTGGGGTCCCAAAGCTGCTTTTGCAGTAACATTCATCCTAAATGTTGTAAATGAAGCAACAGAGAAAGCAAACTCTGCTTAAAACAGAGCTTAAAGCTGGATCCTATGCAACTCAGAAACAAGCCCCACTGAGTTCAACAGGGCTTATTCCCAGGTAAGTGTGAAGGACTGCAACTGCACAGCACAATCTTATACACGTCTACTCATGAGCAGATCCCAAGATTTTGTCCCTGGTGTCTCAAGGTTTGGCAGGAAGATGCCTACCTAAAACCCTGGGGAGTCACTGCCCGTCAGTGTAGATAATACTGAAAGGAATTGACCAATGGTCTGAGTTAGTATAAGGCAGCTTAATATGTGCTTACCTCTTGTGTCGGTTGTCTTGTAGTTCTGTCCTTCCTTTGATTTTATTGTGAATTGCAACCTAGAAAATAAACGAGCAGAATTTTACACACAAAGACAAAAAGAGGTTTCAATGTGGTTCCTTCCTTCTTTTAAGCCTAAAGTGAAGTAGGTTGGTCTGAGGAAAGTTTTGTCAAATGATTATTGTGCAAAGCTATGGTATTTCAGTGACACTGAGCTGGGAAAAACCAAATTTGCCACGTGATGAAACTGAAAACTGTAATCATTCAGTTTCATAAACTTGACATGTGTACTTGAGGCTGTAAAAAATTGTTTGTATATTTCTTCTTTCTTTGGCAATCACTCATAGCCGAGCAAGATTGTCTTCCATAAACACGGTTTTAACAATGAGTCCAAAAGTGACTGTGGAGACCAATTCTGGATCCACATGAGAGACCACATATCTATATAGCACTATACTCCGTCCTCACTGGCAGCAGGCTCCAACTTAATGAAAACTACATTCATCATCATCATCAATTACCACATTTATACCCCACCTTTCCTATAAGGAGCTCAAGGTGGCATGCATTTGAACCAATAAGACTTGCAAGTGTCTAATTTTGGATGGACATGAGTCCATATAGCACACTGAGAGTAAGAGCAAAATAATGACTAGTAGATATCTACAACTTGGGTGATATTAATATTGACTGAACTGTGTCTGTATATATATTTTTTTTCTTTGCAAAGAAACAGAGCTATGTTGCATCTGCATGTAACTGCATGCTGAAATTAAGATAAGTTAGAAGCTGCTAACTATTCGGCAATTTCACAAGCGAGGACTACATATTTCAATAACCTAGTAGTTACTCCTATGCCGAAACAACTCAGTGTAATACTGAAATGAATATGTGCACTCACAGTGATGTTTATAAAGAGATGAGAGGATGGTGACCAAGGTCTTTACTTACGTCAATCATCTACAAATCATCCTAGACCCATGAGCTTTTCCACTGGGTAGTTTTTGAGTTAATGTAACTGGAATTACTGTTCCCAATAAAGAATAGTTTGAACTAGACACTTGTCCTTCTGAAGTTCTCAGAAATCAAGACGTTTCCCAATGACAATGAACACATTTCTTTCTTGAGAACACTGTGTGCAGAGTCTTTTTTGTGTATGCACCTAGAAAACGCTGGAGACGTCATTTCTATGCTGTTTTCGGCTGGAATTAAATAGTACCTTAATCTTACTGTGCACTTGAATGCAATGAGCACACAGGAAAGAGTGGGCACCAACCTTCCACTTCATCTAGTAGAGAGAGACATGGTGAGCTTCTTCCTTTGTTGGCCCCCTTGTCAACAAGAAGATAGGAAAGGAGAATCTCTTGACTGCCCCTGTTTTCATTTACAAAGAAAATAGAGCTGACAAAGAATCAGCAATTGAAGTGGGTACACTGACATGGACAAAGTGAAGCAAGTTTGCAGCTGCGTTGGCTTGTATGACAGGAGTGTGGGATGACTTTAGGGTCTATTGGTGTGTTTATAATTCATGGCGCAAGAGAGCCGACTCACGGTCTGTTAATATATAAAGTATAATTAAATCATAAAGTAATCCTAAGTATGCACCCATGTTCTTGCATAAGAAGTGCTTTATTGAATCAGAATCAGATTCTAGTCCTGCATTCTTTGCAAAAATCTCACCAGGCACTATAATCCGCCTTCTGCTTACCACTGTTTATTTTATTTTTAATCTTTAGCATTTGCAGCCCATGGACCCTGCAAGTGTGGAGGAAAGGAAAGGAGCTCTCCCACAAGGTGACCAGGCTAAACAAAAAAATAAAATAAAATACCCTACTGTTGTAATCATGGCTAATTGGTGTTCTAGAATTTTTTACTTTGCTCTGTTACTAGTTCTTAGATGCTTCTTTTTATTCAAGATGTGGAATTGCACCTGAAAAGCAGGCATCATTCATCACAACCTGACGCCTTTGAGCCCATTCCTCACCTTTAAAGCACACTTCCAGGGCCTCTATATTCCCCAGACAACATGGCCCTTCTCTGACGTAGCCGTTGTCAATGCTGTGATAGGAAGTCTGCCAACAGAAATGCAGAGCAGAATGCTAAAAGTGTGACTGATGGACACATATCTGAAGAAAAGAGTATGTTCCACTATGGTATCTGAGAGCTGTATTTGTTGTGTGGCTTGGATTTAAATCTGAAAGGACTTAAGTACATGTTTTTAAAAAGTAATTAGGTGAAGGGGAAAAAAGAGGCTGTGGTGACATGAAGAACTAAGACACAGTGAAGAAATTTAAGTCCAACACAACCCCAGTATCTCCATTCTATCCCACTATACAAACATACATCTTTTTATTTGTATGCCGCCTTTCCATGCTCAAGGCGACTTAGACCAATCACATAATTACAAATATAACAAAAGTAACCATAAACAATAACTAAAACATCAAAAAGTACACAACCCAACTGAACAATTTCAACACAAATCAAAAGGAGATCTAAAATTAAGATCAGGCCAGGCGGGAAAAGGCCTGCAAGGCAGGGAGATCTTCCAGGACTCACAACCGAGATGGTCTATACACTGCCATTCTTTCCCCTCCTGTCACCAGAAGCAAGAGTGACACCTGAGGCTTCCTATAATGTACTCCAGTCCTGATATTCCTTGGAGATGGGAAAATTGCTACTGACGACAGACACATCCCCTCTCCACATATCCCAGAATAGAACCAGGCAAAGGGTCTTCTCGGTAGTGGTGCCTGCCCTGTGGAATGCCCTCTCATCAGATGTCAAGGAAATAAACAACTATCTGACTTTTAGAAGACACCTGAAGGCAGCCCTGTTTAGGGAAGTTTTTAATGTTTGATGTTTTATCGTGTTTTTTATATTCTGTTGGGAGTCGCCCAGAGTGGCTGGGGAAACTCAGCCAGATGGGCGGGGTATAAATTACTACTGCCTACTACTACTACTACTACTACTACTACTACTACTACTACAATTGTCTGAGTCCTCTCCTACCAGCCCCGTAACATACTAAAACGCCAAGTGATTTCCTTGTACAAAGACTAACTAACCTTATAACTAGCAATTAATATAACAAAGCAATTAATATTTAATATTTCTTTTATCTGCCAACAAAGGTCCATATAGTTAAAGCCATGGTTTTCCCAGTAGTGATGTATGGAAGTGAGAGCTGGACCATCAAGAAGGCTGATCGCCGAAGAATTGATGCTTTTGAATTATGGTGCTGGAGGAGACTCTTGAGAGTCCCATGGACTGCAAGAAGATCAAACGCATCCATTCTTAAGGAAATCAGCCCTGAGTGCTCACTGGAAGGACAGATCCTGAAGCTGAGGCTCCAGTACTTTGGCCACCTCATGAGAAGAGAAGACTCCCTGGAAAAGACCCTGATGTTGGGAAAGATGGAGGGCACAAGGAGAAGGGGACGACAGAGGACAAGATGGTTGGACAGTGTTCTCGAAGCTACAAACATGAGTCTGACCAAACTGTGGGAGGCAGTGGAAGACAGAAGTGCCTGGCGTGTTCTGCTCCATGGGGTCACAAAGAGTCGGACACGACTAAATGACTAAACAACAACAAATTTCTTTTATCCTTTTGGCACATTTCCCATCAACTGTCACTACTCTGTTCATAGACCAATATTTACTCCGAATGATCGTGCCTGGAGAACAACTGGTGGGGTTTCAAACCTTGCAATAATGATGATGGTGATGATAATTCCAACACAAAATAGTCATTTCACCTATTCTTTACTGGTTCAACTTCAAAACAACCCTTTCCAACATAAATAGAATCGAATACTTACCCCCACACAGTCTTGAATGAACCAGCGGTACAAAAGTCCTGAAAAGCAGTCAGTGAAACAGGGATGAGGTGGGAAAATACAATGTTCAAAGCTGAGTCTGCTGCCACCCAAGGAGTACTCTTCTTAAGGGCAGTTACCAAGAGGCCACATTGCCAAGAATGTTAGTCAAGGTCCAGGCCAGACAAACCATACAGAAGACAGCAGCAGACCAGCCACCAAATCTTTACAAAGCAAAGGCACACAGGAAAGTGAGCATTCAACCTTTCCCCTGCTCGGTTTCTCCTCAGAAACTGCTTCTTTCTGGGTTTTTTCTTCCAGTGGGGCTCCAAGACCAGAAGCCTCGAATACACAAGCTGAAGGTTTTTTTAGGAATGTAAGATTTCCCAGACTAGATCAGTCAACTGGTTTAACTTGTTTTGTCTGACCAGCAACACTTTCTTCAATTGCAGCTACAATGCTGGACAGCTTTCTGTTTGTCCATGATGATCAATTGCTAGGGCAGAGAATGCCTGCCTTGTCCTCCTTCCCTGGAAGCTATCGGTATAAATCCCAGCAGCATTCACAGGGAGGATGTTGAGTCTTAGGTCCCATCTGCACATCAACACATTTAAAGCAGTATCATACCACTTTAAACAGACATGGCTTCCCTCAAAGAATCCTGGCAGCTGCGGTTTCTGAGGCCCCAGTTCCCCTCACAGAGTTACAATCTCCAGAACTCCTTGGGACTGACTGTTCAGCCACTCTGAGAATTGTAGCTCCATGAAGGGAATAGGAGTCTCCTCACAACTTTCTGCACCCTTAACAAACTACAGCTCTCGGGATCCTTTGAGGGGAACCATGACTGTTTAAAGTGGCCCGGTACTGTTTAAAATGTATAATGCAGAGGCGGTCCTTAAATCAGATTTTGCACTGAAGGGCAAATATAAAATCGACATTCCCTGGACTGTACAATTTGAAAACGACTCGCGTTTTCTATTCCACACAATCCCCACATGTACACAACTCAGCATCTGAAGCTGACTACACCACTCAGATAGGAAAACACCTTCTCCTTACACTGGGTCTGTGCCTTTAACAGCTACCGGGCCAGCAAAGGCCACAGCTGTAGCTTATCCATGATTGCATCAATATAATTCCTGCCTTAAAAAGCTGCTTGATCATATATATGTGCCTAAGTTCACTGAAATCAACGTACTAACTTTTCACATAAGATTCCAAATTGGCAGCTAGTTAAGTGAACCCCGCCCAATGAACCTAAGTTAGGCGTGTCCATTAACTTCAGTAGGTCTGGTCTGAGTAGCAGTAGCATTAAATACCACGCATTATGCCTGGGTATCGGTGCCCCAGTACTGGTGACTAATTCTGCAATCCAGCTGCTTAAGTTAGTAGTGAGCTCAGACCTGTGTTCCTCTTATTTCTTCCAGAGACAAAGGAAAAGAAGAGACAGTGGGCTGAATAAGGCTACTGGAGAGCAGTGGAAACACCTGCTTAGATTACTATGTTTTAAATAGATGTTTTTTTAAAAAAAAATTATTGATTTTGTTTTTGTTTTATTATCCCCCCCCCAGTCAAGCCATGTATAATTTTTATGAAATAAACAAAATATGATATGGGGTAGATCAAAGCTCATTCTGGGGTTCAGGAACATATAATCCTTATCTTCTAAACTTTTCTGACTTGAGCTGTGTTGGGCAGGTTCATGCAAGGAAGGAATGAGGAACCAACTTCAGCGCCGTGTTGCCTTCTAGCTGTTGAGAGTATTATTTCAAAGGGTCAAGGCGGGAAAGGAAGAGGCAGCTTCAAATAGGGAAGTTTACTTTGCTTCGCAGCCCAACAAGGAAGGCGGAACATTTTTTTGCCTCAGTTAAAACAGAGTATGCAGGAAATTGAGCTCCCATTCCAAATTCCAGATCAAGTATCTGAGAGCAGGGGGAGTGTCTTTATGGCCAACAGAACATAACAATCACTGTCCGACCATTATTGCTGCAGAGCTAGGTCAGCAGCTCTAACAGAAAGCTGCAGAGTTCCTGTGCCTGTTCTATCATTGCATCATGACAACCTTGCCTTTTGTTTCAACAAGCATGTCGTTCTCATCAAGGATGCAGAACATAACTGGAAAGCAGGTTTGCTGAAGATTCAGAATGAAAGCAAAAGAGATCTGGATGAACTTCTGGTCCTTAACACACTCATTCTAACCCTATCACCGTGTGTCTCATGTGCCATCTCTCTCTTTCACTTTTACTTCCTCATTCCCTTAAACACACAGACACACAAGAAATTCCAGGGAACTAACAAAATAATGTAACCAACAAATGGGGTCATTTTATATTATCGCTATTCCATATAGTTCAGTCAAGCTGCACAATTTTAAGGGGTACAGACAAGTCATTTTAAAGGGTAACGGAAGGTGCTCCAGCACTTTCCATCCACCTTGCAAGAACGTGACTTGAAATGCAGCAAGTCTTTTCATCAATTTGTTACCATACTTAGGGTGGATCTAGACATGGGGGAATGCTATAAATAAGTCAGAAATTAGATCAGGCATAGGCAAACTCGGCCCTCCAGATGTTTTGGGACAACTCCTCCCATCATCCCTAGCTAACTGGACCAGTGGTCAGGGATGATGGGAGTTGTAGTCCCAAAACATTTGGAGGGCTGAGTTTGCCTATGCCGGAATTAGATTGTTACAGCAAAAGAAAAAAAATCTCTATAGAAAATTGTGTTTTAAAGCTTCCTGCTCTCTGGCGCCATCTGGTGTTGCATGTTTATAGAAAATACAAATCACTGTTTCTTTAATAGCATAGCTGAGTCTCTAGAATGCCTGTCTTTACCCTCAGCTATTTTGATTGTCGAATATCATGGTGAGTCATAAAATAAATAAATGAAGCCTAGATATTGCATGAGAATTAAATTATGAAATATTGTTCGTATAATATTATTATTAAGATCACAGGGTAGTTTTCAATATAAAAACACAAAAATACATCTCATAACAACAAACAAAAACAATAACCCCACAGTTTAAAAGGCCAAAGGCCTGAGACAATATATAGATTAAGGCTACAATCCCATGCATACTTAACCTGGAAGGAAGCTCCACTGAACACACTGAGACTTAACTCTTAATAAACATGCATTGGATTGTCCTGTTAGTATTCACTTAATTCTGATCTGATATGTACAACATCCTGCCTCAAAAGCGTTAGTGTCTATCGTTTTAACAGTGTTTTCCTTAAGGCAAGCAAAAGCATGTTATAAACATACATAGGTGTAGTTACTGATAAACTGGAGAGATGTATGCTGTATCAGGAATACATTTTTCATGAGCACCTCTTCCCCCACCTCCAATCATCTCCTATATATCCTGTGTTCAGAGGCCTCAAGCTATAGCTCCAGTGGTATTTGGATGGAGGTTTATCCATTGAGTTAAAAGTAGCCAGATCAATATTCTAAAACACTGGAAGACATACCACAGGGGTGCATGAAAAAGTGCTGTTCCACAATATTCTATGGAGCTGTAGCAGCATCCCATAATTTATTTCAAGGAGACATGGCACACCTGCAAATTCTAACTCAGCTCTACACAAATAGCACATGATGATCACTGAATGAATAATTATCTCTTTTACACCTTTGGACCACTGGACTTCACTCCTAAGTACACTTACTAGGGAATAAACCTCATCCACAGTGAGACTTGCTTCCAAGTAAACGCGCATAGGGTCACTATCTAAGCCACACACCCACATTCATCATAACCAAAATGATTAACAGTGGTAAAAGATGGGTGTGTGGGAAGGGGTCCCTCTGAAAGCATTTTCATGATAAAATCACTAGAATTCTTTAATAGTGACCGAGTACACAAGGTTCATATAGTAGTCAAGTTCAGATTAGTTGATGCATTTCATGAGTGTGTGATCTTATCTGTCTGGGACAGAAATGGATCTATTATCACAAACAATGCAAGACAAAGTCTCTTTCAATATTGAAATCCTCAGAAACTTCCAACCTACTATAAGACGTTCTAAGAGGTACCCACAAAAGCAGCTTCTCCCATCAGACATATATTTAACATCAATGCTTACCTAGTCTGTTTTCATTTTTGCTCTTTACACAGCAGTGCTCCACCCGGCTACTGCCTGTCTGATATGCCAAACTGAACTTTGCCGCCAGCTGTTCTATTCCTTGAAGGATTCTGTTCCCTCAATAGTAATAGCACCCTGCAGATCATACAATCCTATTCCGCCTCAGGGCGGAAACGTAAATCAGTTTCTTATTGCATTATCCATTGATTATAGTCAAGCAGACAGTAACCCCGTCATTGTTGACAGGAAGTATGCACTTAGGACCTTTAACAACAGGCAGCTGGTAAGGCCAGAGTAAGGTCTTGCTCTGGTCTAATTGGCTGCACTGGCCCCCAAAAATGAATTAATACAAATCGCTCTATTTGTTTTTGGTCTTCCATGGAGTCCTAATAAGCAGAATAGTAAAAAAAGCCTGTGCTGTGAGCTCAGCGTGACTGTTGTTCAAACCATTCGGGTCTGGCTGGCTTCCGGCATATATTCAATCTCTTTGGGGGAGACAGAGAATTTTGCAAGTCACCCTTCCAAGTTAAAAACAAGACCCTGTGAAAGGAGAAACCTTTTGGCTGCAGTCTCAAGATCAAAACCAAGCTGGTGTTTGTTTACTTAGCACCAAGAATATACAGGAGTGGTCCTTGATTTCACTGTGTGAATACCCTTTAGTTTTTTTACACACAGAGAGAGGAACATACTTATTTCCCATCAGGTGGCTCATTTGTACTGAAGTCACATCAGGTCTGTGTTCTACTTCTGAAAGATGATGCCTCTTCTTGTGGAGTACAGAAAGTGATAGAATAAACTGCCAACAAAGAAAACTGTGTTCTACCTGGTAAATAATATCGGAATCTGAATAGCAAGTAAAACCCAGATTGTTTCTGGACATTGTAGTTTGTTATGGGTTGCTGGGAACTGTAACTGTGAAAGGTAACTCACAATGCCCAGGGTTGCCATATTTACCCAAATCTAATGCTCACCTTCCCCCCCCCCCAATTACGTTGTGAAAATCAAGGTGTGCATTACATTTGATGGCACATTTACATTCGCCAGCAAATACCTTTTTTTGGTTTCAAGGTTCTGAACGCTGAGGTGTGCATTAGGTTCAATGGTGCATAAGTCTCGAGTAAATACTGTATTTCAGGCATGCCCAACAGGTAGATCGTGATATACCAGTAGATCACTGGACCTCTGCGGTAGATCACTGGTAGATCATTGGTTCCCCCCAAAGAAGCTGAACAACTGTGGCTCCCTTAAAAAAAGCTCAACATTTTACCTCCTCCCTGAAAAAACTCAACAACTTTGACCTGAACCCCCAAAAAGGGGGTAGATCACTGCCAGTTTTTAACTCTGTGAGTAGATCGCAGTCTCTTGGGAGTTGGCCACCCCTGCTGTATTTGAAGGAAACAATGATCTCCTGGTTGACGCGGATGCCACTGAATGTGCATGCATACTCTGTGCACTTCCCTCTCTCCCACGCCCCCCAGGGCACTGGCAACCCATGCTATGTCACTGTTTGCATGTACAATCTTGGACATCTCCAGTTAAAAGGGATCTGATAACTGGTGACAGGAAGGACTCTCATTTTCAAAACAATGCAGAGCTACTGCCTGTCACAAGTAGAGTAACCAATAGTGAGCTAGATGGATAAACAGCTTGATCTTTAGACATTTAACACAGATGATAACGTTCCTC